CGGGGCTTTGTATCACCTTGTATACGCTTCACGTCCTGTACCTCTCGCTCTGGTCTTGGGATTATACGTACAATATGGCTGCCAATGTTGCCGTTGGCGTCGTAGCCAACTTGCTCTGGAGTGGCTTCAGTTACGTCCAGTACCAGAAGATTGGGAGGACATGGGCTGTCTGGCCTGGTCTGTGTGTTGCCTGGATCATCTCGGCTATGAGTCTGGAGTTGTTGGATTTCCCGCCTTGGAAGGGTATGATTGATGCACATAGCCTGTGGCATCTGGGCACAGTTCTGCCGACTGTTTTGTGGTACAAGTAAGTTGAATGATCATGTCGTATTTTGTAGGTAACTAGTGCTAACGAGTCTCTAAGCTTCCTCGTCAGAGACGCTCAGGAAGATATTGCAGGTACGCGGCTCAAGGACTGAACGACGCAATCGCTTTCCAACGAGACCACCATCTGCCCGCTGTGTACGGCTCCATCGCTTACCATTTTCGTCTCCAGGAAAACTGCCCACTGCTGGTTATGGTGCTGGTGCTGGTGCTGGTACTTGGAAGGACAAGAACTAGTACCGTTCTCAGACGCTGAGTTGGATAACGTCTATGATTCTGCGCATTCATATAACACGATGTCATAGAGACGTGTCAAGTACTATACGACGATGCCGTAAATCGAGCAATACATTCAAACTAACAGATCGGACTACTATGTTTGTATGAAAGGTATCACGTCCCAGACGCCTGACACCAATCCTCAATAGGATGCGAGTTAAAAAAACACAAATGGCAAACGACCGTAAGCAGATCATCAAGTCCGTCGCTACACCCCATGCTCACTCATCTGGAATACTCAAAGACCCCTTTGTCCACTCACCCCCATTCAGGCCCCTCGTAAATGCCGTGATATCATCACCCGCCGTCTGAAAGAAAACATAGAGACTGTCCCACAACGTTTCCTCTCCACGCTTCTCAGCAAATGCTGTAACAGTGAGATGCGTGCCGCCAAGTCCCACCACGGAGTTTGATATATCAGTAACTGTGAATGTTTCGTCTTCGATGTACGTTGTGTTTTCAGCATTGTACGTGATGTTGAACCCCTTGATACTTCGATCCGCCATTTGCGCGTAAAAGTACGTTGTGTAGCCAAGAGACGTGATGGGGTACACATCCTTGATGGCGCCCATGCTGGCGTTTTGCCAGGAGTTGATGGGGTGTGTCGGCGTGGATGGAGCGGATTGGTTGGTGTCTTTCCACCAAAACTCCACATCGTTGTCCTTGTTGTTCAGCATGGCATACGATGTGGTGCCTGCACCCCAACTGTAGCAGCCTACGCCGGCATGTCCGTTGAACCCGGACCATGGTTCGATTTTCGCCCATGTATCTTTTTGGCCGCTGTACCAGGCGTACTGAAGGAAGGTGGAGTCATCGGTAGCGAACCAGATGTTCTGTAGCGATGGTAATGCGGTCAGTGTATGCTTCGAGGATAGCTTTTACTTCTGAAACTTACCATGCCTGTTTGTCCCTCGAATTGCTCTGTATTATTGAGACCTGAAGCTGTGGGAAACTTTGTATAGTCGTTATCACCGTAAAAATTTCCCTTGTAGCAAGCTTGCAAGCCAGTAGTCGGTGAGTCGAAGGCTTTGAGGTTGAGGTCGCTGAGTGGTCCTGGCTGCCAGATGTCGCTTGTGTTGGACTGGATCAGTTGCTTGACAGTGTTATTCTTATCAATGTAGAAGATATGGAACTATTCAAAGTTAGGATATTACTCGAGAGTGGGGAGCTGGCCAATTCTGGCGCGCGACAAGACTGCTCGATGATACTCACATATTGGGTCTCATTAAGGGCAAAAGCGACTGCGGATATAGGTGATGCATCTTTTGCATCACCAGCAACGGTCTGGGCTTTGCCTCCACCAATCCACTTCCTGTCCGTGGTATACTGCATAAATCTGATGTCGCCTGTATGGTGCTGGAAGTAAAGCGTGAAGATTCGTCGTTGGCCTTTGTTCCAAGACTCTCCAGCTAGAGCGATACCTGTACCATCTGCGACGCGGTAGGTATCAAATCAGCGTTTGTTCAAATTTGTATGGTGAGCAACAACTTACTGAAGACGCCCTTTTTCGACAGGTACTCAGAATTGAGAGAGCCACCAATACATGACTCAGGATTCTCGCGACAGTAGGGATGCACTGTGCCCTCATCTCTGTATAGTTTAAGCGCCTTGTGTATGAGATAGGATACGTGTATTGGAAACTTACGAGTCGTCCTTGTTTAATCCTAGTCCCAGACCGAGTCCTAAAGCGAGAGCAACAATCGCAATGACAATAACGCCGATGAGAATAAAGAACGTCCGCTTCTTCATGCCGCATTTCCGATCATCTTTCGGTGGCACGGGCGGAGGAGCAGCTTCATGATTGTCGTATGGGTCGACATGTTCCTTGAATCCATATGGCCGGATGTGGGGAGAGGTAAGGGTGGTGCCTCCATGTGATGAGGGTGACATTGGTCGACCCCCATGAGGGTAATGACTGAACTGGCCTGGGACTCTAGATGTCGGTGTGAGAGATCAGTACATGTATCATAGACAGTTCAAGCAGGGGTACTTACACTTCAGGACCCTCAAAATCCGGAGTAGGTTTGCCGATTGGAGCGACTGTGCCGTATGGTGTCTCTTTCTCCGTTGAATAACTGTCGAAGAGTCAGATCACGAGGCTAGGTAAAGAGACGGCTTGGTTTTTTGCGATGAATCTGTTGATAAAGCGAAAGCGACATACCCTTGTTGATAGGTTTCATAGTTTTGTGGTTGGGGATGTTGATGATACTCATGTTCATACGGTAGAGGTGGGGATACTGCTGGTGGAGAGTTCGGGTTAGAGTAGGTATGAGGTGAACCATCCGCTGCATATATCTGATCGAGCTCTCGGAACCCTGGTGGAGGAGGGCTCCATTGACTATCGGTGTAGCTCCGAGGACTACTCATATCGTCGTGGTGTTGGTCATGGTGATCCATCTTGTTCAATGGAAGAGTCTAGGTATGAAGGGTGGGTCGGAATCTGAACGGAGGGATCCAAGTCCTTGAGCCTGGTATAGGCCCAATGCGGCTGCGCCTCAAAAGAATGTGAGAAACGAACTTTGAAGGGTAGGGACAGGGTAGCGTGCACGCCTGAGTGCGCCCGTATACATCTGGACTATGGATCATCTGCATCTACGCTAATGCCTGCTTCCTGCACCATAGTAAGCACAGCAGCTAATATTTAGCCATGAAGAGAACCAATCGGGATTCATAAGGCGTTCTGTCAGCATCGCTGTAACCGGATGATGTTGGGCGACGGCGCTGTCATCCGTTGCGTACTAGGTAGCTATACTTCGATCAGCTGCATAAATAGTAGGGAAGCAACCCAGTATGCTATACATTTCGACAGGTGAAGATCTACCGTGAGCGCACCATGGCCTAAGGACTGAAAGGAATATGCGATTGCCCGATAATGGTCGCGCGACACAACTTCATCGTATGATACAGCCAACCTTTAGGTGTCCAGCGCAATACTATGGTATCCCATCAGAAGTATAGTACTCTGGCATTTCCTGGAAGCTCAGCTGCATGTGGCCTTAGGCCAGGGCTGAGAGCTGAACTAATATTAGGTTGGTGATTCGCCGAGCCCAGTACTACTGCATGCACTTTCTCTTAGCCCGGAGATGCCGAGCGCATATCAGCTGGCGAAGATAAGCCCTGCTCGCTCGTTGATATACGGTGTGGTGGGGTCGAGTAGTGATCTTCCTCTGAGGATGTAGCGAAGCGCGGGAGGCTTCCGACAACCCCGCAACTTTGACCCCGGAATCTGGAGTCACACTTGAGTAGCAACGGGGAGAGGACGGCGTGCTCAAGCTGTGTACCTCGCTACAGTCTTTCCCAATATAACCATTGCGAGTTGCCTCACTTGTCAACTCGCAAGATCATCCTGTGACTGGCTTGGATTCATAGACATGGATAAGCAGCATTCCAGCGACTGCAAAGTTCGCGCTCGAACCGTGTCTCGAGCTGAGCTCATCTTTGCAGATTTAGGTTCCACAAGGCGTAGTGGCTCATTAATGGTCCGCAGCTTACCGGTAAGCGTACAATACCTAGAATTGGGGTCCAAACGGTGCTGATCCTGTTAACGAGGAGATTGCCTAGGCATCGGCAATGTACGACAGCATTTGCGCACCAAAAGCAAATACGATGCATTCCGCTCTATGCAGGGAAACCCCAAACCGAAGTCGACAAATATTCGACTCTGGGATTTACGATAAGATGTAATAGAATAAAACTAAATGTGTTGAGCCAACGTAGACTTCTAGCTTATTTACATATATGTATGGACGATGGCTATGTCAATGCTGTGATACGCTGTAGAGTAATGGATAAGCTGAGTGTACCTGTTAATTCTCTGTTGTATGCAGTGCTACGAAGGAACTGCGCGGCTTGACGGACACCAATGCAACAACCCGGGGGCTCAGAAAGGATCCTGCAACCAAAGCAGATGACGTTAAGAGATGACGTTGAGAGATGACGTTGAAAGAAGACTGAAGGGTTGACATGGTGAGGGCCGATAGTGTCTGTTCGAGTTAGTATAGAAGGAATCTCCCGATGCGCGCTGGTTGATGTTGATGCACTCTGAGAGCTTACGATCCGATCGTGAGCAAGCGCCAGGAACGCTCTCTCTGTCACACAATTCAGTGCGCACAGCATGTCTCTACGTTTAGTTAGCCCCTAAGTTCACTTGATTCTGATGTTCTGCCCTCTCAACCGGACAATTCCTGTGTTGCTCCAGTGAAGCCCTCAAGTATCCGAACATGGTTATGAAAAGTCGCCGACAACCGTGAAGACGGAGACTTATGCAAATTCGAGTGACATTAATTAGGTACTCATCAACAAGTGTTATCGAAAGATTCTGTATAAAATGTGCTTCACGGGCATGTAGCGATTCGCATATTAATGTAGTACTGTATGATAGAGCATCTCTAAACACAATGACTTCCCTACTACAGGAACCCGATATAGGGTGAGTAGTACTATTTGAAGAGGCTGCAGTGCTGTAGAGCTAACAGTGTGATAGACAAGTATCAGACTGGTTCGAAGAGCGCCCGATCAACAAGGCCAATCGCCAGAAGCTCGCCCAGATGATACGCGATAGAGTTTCCTTCGCCGGCATCGACTGGGCTAAATTTTCCGGTAGCATAGAGGTGGGCAGGGAAGTTCGGATGCTAGATTACGCATGCGGGCCTGGATTTCTCAGCAACGTGTGTGAAATTGGAGTGCAAGTGAGGGTTTCTCTGTTGACTATGTGATCAGATCTTCGGGCCGTACGTGTCTTCAATCCATGCAGTCGATGCGTCTTCTGCCATGATTGAGAGGTACAGAAATAATACGAAAGAGTTCGGTCCTGGCCGCGAAAAGGTTGCAGCCATTGTCGGAAACTTGTTGTTGGAGCCACCCGAACCCGCTCTTTTGGCTGATGAAGAATATCAGAATTTTGATCTCATCACAGTCGGGTCAGCTCTGCACCACTTTCCATCTGCGGAAGATGCTGTTCGACTTTTGGGTGGGCGGTTGAAGCCTGGTGGGGTGTTGTTCGTCCAGGATCTGTATAGCCACTTGAGCAGCGAAGCTGTTCAGCAGTCAGGCCAAGTCAAACCCCCACAATACAAACAGGGCGACATGAAAAAGCACATGGAAAAAGCTGGGCTGGGCGATTTCAAATTTGAGATTTTACAGGAAAATCTCGAGATTGGGCTGCCGAGCGAAGAGGTATGCCAGGTGCAGTGTTTCATTGCCAGAGCAGCGAGGCCGTTGAGCTAGTTCTAGGACAATGTTGGAAAATGGGCGTCATGGTGGCAGTTGCGCAAACCGGTATTACGTGAAACCTTATTTTGTTTTTTGTTTGCTTTGTGAAGAGTCGGCTGAGATGTGTGAAGTAAAATGAGTGGCTGAAATCATGGCACAGCCACAGCGTCCCCTAAATGAGTCAGGGTCATGACGCAGGACTGCCCGCACCATCGAAGCCCAGCCCACGAAAGCTCTTTGACCCTTTCACACCTAAACGGACCTACACCCCTACCCACACTGAAGACGCGATACCATTCGCGATCGACAGTGAAGCCCGACAGAAGACCCTCGCACCCGCCTCATTTATAGCAGACGCGTCTGCCCCGCCTGCTCCAGGGACGCCGCCTCCCCCACATTAGCATCCGACGCCGGCCCAAATCAACGGCGGCGACACCCTCCCAATATTCACACGAACACGAACCGCGATAGGAATGGATTATATCTGCCCGAAAATCATGGCTTTTTTCTGGTACTCAAATCTCCCTAAGATTGCCAAGTTGGGCGAAGCCGTCAGCACTCGTCACCGCGTTTGAACGCGATACCGGGACTCCGAATATTTCTACACGAATAAAATTCTACTGGCGAGAAGGGCAAACGTCCAAAAAAGACGTTTGACGCGAAAACGTAGCGACCGTCCCCTTCACAAGTCTTGATCTGTGACAAAGGGCGTCTGCGCGATCCGAAACACTCTTCGCATACCCGCCGTTCACAGCGCGTGCACAACCATCACGACAGTGCCCGCAGCAGTAGCCGAATAGAAGTTCTTCGAAGGCATATCCGCGCTTCCAGGAGTTTTTCCGGTACCAGTGATCACATTCTCCGCAAACGAACCGCTCAACCGTGGTTGTCGCACACGCGTGACTTTGTTCGCCGGCCACGTCCTTCATCCACCGGACGAGACCTCGGGCACGTCCAGTTCTACATTGCGATTTACGCCCTCCGTGACATAATAACTGCAACCAAAGCCCTGCACCACACAAGCAGACACAAAACCCACCACTACCATGAGTTGCACAAAGATACCGGCAAGCGTCATCATGCCGCCCAAGGAGCTGAAGCAATACAAGCGATGGCAGTGCTTGCACACCAACGTTAGACCAGCTGAGCAAGGCTACATTCCTTCAGCACACGAATACGAAGACTTCCACCAGTGGCTGAAACGACAAGACTCAGGATACTTCTCGGACATATTCGATGATATCACTGGTCACATCTCAGATAGTCGTTCCGAAGTAACGTCGTCTTCGTTCGACTCGCCAGTTGCATCGGTATGTCAGCATGCAATGCACCCCATAGCAGCGGATCAGCCACAACCACGATGTCCCGTCTGTACTATTGAGTTGCACGTCAGATACATGAACGTTCTGACTGAAGCTCTTAAAAGCGCTGGTGGTCACGCGCCCTCTTGTACACTCACCAGTTCTGAGCACCAAGACACAGTCTATAGCGCCTGGTGCAAGGGGAAGATTAGCACACTCAAGGAGCTGTCGAGACTGGAGGCCATGGCTGAAGAAGAGGCTGCATGGTCCACACAGCACCCAGAGGCAAGACACGAAGAGACGCAAACCGCAGCGAAGGCGGTGGAGCTGTACTGGTCAGAAACAACAGGGTGCTTGGAAAAGCTACCGCGCACTAAAAAGCAAGCGACAGTAGTCTTTGCTCAAGATACTGATTTCGCGCCTGGACGACCAAACCCTTACTTCCACCGGCGATCTCCTCGATACGAGCCTGGGAAATATACGGTTGTGGCACTGGAGGAACAGGACGAGGATCAGATCTCGGAAGATTCGGAAGACTACTCCCAGGTTAAGGTCTATCATGTTGGTGAAACAGAAGAGTCAGTCGACGAGAGTCACATTTCTAAAGACGAGGAGTCACAATTGGCTCTTGACTCAATCAATGAGATCGAAGATGACGACGGAGATAGTGACTGGGAGGATCTTGATTCTGACGAAGAAAGCTCTGAATATGGTGACGAATATGGTGACGGTGATGGAATTTACTTCGAGATCGAGGAAGAGGCGAGCTTTATCGTCTTTGGCGATGACTGAGCTGATTCACAGCGGTTCGATACACATTTACTACCACATGACTACCACACGCAGTGCGCCACATACCATGAAGCGATGAGCACAAAGCGTACAGATACAAACGAGGGAAGACACGCTGCACAGACATGAAGAACAGCGTTCGATGAAGAAAGAGGCAAAGGATATAAGCGGATACCAAACAATGGTTGGCAGATGCCGATTCGCGGCGCGAAGGTGAAGAGGAGTAACAGACTTCATAGCACGTATACGAGTGATCCAAGCGACACTCATGCATCACCAATGACAGTAATCTACTATCTTCACGCGTGCACGCTCATCTTCATGACTTGCTTCGTTCTTGGAAAGTCATTGCATGCCCTCCTCACGGGCTCCTTCATCGCCGTGACATTGTGCTTGCACCATAATCACAAGACACTATGGCCGCCAACTACGTAACATCTGCACTCGAAGCTCTCGGCTTTGATGTTCAGAGCTGCTGCAACGAACTTGCCTTCTGGGCCCTAAGAGCAGATGACCACCCGGACGCCTACGACGCATGGAACGCAGCCTTCCACCATCGCAACACACCTCCCACTGTCCACGACGTCGAATGGTGCAACGCGCTCGAACTTATCGGCCTAAGCCTGCATATCGACAACCGCTCCGCAGAAGCTGGAACATACCTCCAAGAGGCGCTCGTGTATAAGGAAAGGACACTCTCACACGGCAATAAAAGAGTGTATGAATCTCTTGTTGGGGTTGCGAGAGCGTTAGTCGCTCGGGAAAAGCACAAGGAAGCGGAAGCGTACCTCCGACGTGCGCTTGATGGCTACAGACGGCTGTTTCCCGAGGAGAACAAAGAGTCGTTGCAAATTACCAGTGAGCTTGCATATATACTAGCGTGTGAAGGCACATCTTGCTCGATACGGGAAGCGGAGACATTAGCGAGGCAGATGTTGAAGATGAGAGAGAGGGTTCTAGGAAGAATGCAGCAAGAGACGGTAGAAAGTGTATGGATATTGGGGTTTGTAATGGAGAAGGCTGGGAGAAGAGGGGACGCGAAGCATCTGTACGAGAGGGCGTATAAAGAAGGTCCAAGACTGCTGGGGGAGAACCATGTTGATGTTCTTGATTACAAAAGTGATTTGGAGAGATTGAGGATAGACGACGATGAGGTTATACAGTACTTGCTGTTGTGAATTGCACATTAAACTACATACGCGCATTGATGTTATGTATTCCTCTGGCGTCACGCGTATGTGATGTGGAAAGCAGGTTACTGCATCCGCGTCACTAAGCCTTTTCCTTGCCCTTCCCGTAAGCATCAACTAAAGGTGCTTCAGGCACTTCAACCCCCTCAATCTTCCACTTCATACCCAGGTACGAGTCACTCAACACGCTAATATCCACCTTCTTACCCTGTGCTTCCGGCGGCAGCGAGACCTTGGTAGAAGCCTGCAATCTGGAGTGTGCACCTCCAGATGTATTTGCGCTGCGTCCACCTCGTCCATGTCCGCTATTCCTGTTAGGATCAGGCCAATTGACACGTTTCAAAGCGATGATCTCGTCAGTATTGGAGTACGAGATGATGGCGAAGAAGCCCTCTGTCTGCGGCTTCGGGTATCGTGGAGCAAAGATGCGTATGCCACCTTGTTGCATTCTAGCTGGATTCTGGCGTGAGATCCTGAAGTCCAAACCGAGCGCATTGACGTTGCCTAGATCGAGCTTCAAGACAGGTAATCGAGACACAGGCTCCATGAACCTCTTGATGCCAGTGTGTGGAACACCAGCGAACTTGGCTGCCCGTTCAAGCACTGCGGAAGATGCAGTGGTTGTCTCAATCAGGGTCTTTGGACTAGCTTTGGGATGTTCGAGACGTTTCTTCTCCTTGTCGACTTCCACACCTGCAAAAATCGATAGTGGCCCATCGGTCGGCCAGCGAGCAGACTTGATAGCCTGGAGGATCGAAATCATCGTCTCACACGAAGAAAGGTAGCCGAGTTCAGTGAGTACATCGATCGATGCCTGTACGATACGAATGCTCTGATCCAAGACACTATTCAAATCACCGACATAATCTGAGATTGGCAAGTCGATGCGCGAGAAGTGGGCTTGCAGGAGCAAGAACGACTTGACGTGTGGATCCCACATGGGTAGACCAAAATCGTCCGCAGGAATTGGGAGAGCTTTCGACAGCTCAGCATTAATGAGGTCCTCGTTATGGCGGACAGGTAGCTCGTCATATTCAGTCGCATGTGAAATCCACGACAAAGCATCCGAGAAGGTTGCGTCACGCTTGACGTTCTTTACAAGGTAGCGGATTGTCTTGTGGCTGAGATAGTAGTAACTCATGATCTTGCCGAGTGGAGTTGGGTCTACTTCGCCTGTTGGCTCCACAACCGCGCAAGACGACTCGTCTAGTTCACAGAGAGAAGTCTCGACCAGCTCTACCATATAGTCGTTGGCCAAGGATTGCGCGGCTATCGTGTTGTGCTCTTCAGCCGAAATTTCAAGTCCATAGAAGGATGGATTCTTATGTAGACGACGGAAGAAAAACGTCCAAGTCAGATAGTCCAACGCGTCTTGCTTTGTGGCAATGGTACCGGCAGAGATCTCGGCGCCCAAATGGTTATCAAGCACTTTGTGCAGTGACGACTCGACGGGAAATCCAGTATGCAGGAAGTGCTTGTAGAACTCCTTCTTTGCATCTTGCGTGAAGATGCGGGCGATACCCGAATCGTCGAACTGAGGACGGCCAGCACGACCCAGCATTTGCAGCACATCTGTCAGATCCATATCTTTGTATCCTTCGGTTTTGGCGTCGAAGAACTGCGTGCCTTTGACAACAACAAGATGGGCAGGTAAATTCACACCCCAAGCAAGTGTACTGGTCGCGACGAGGATCTGGATCTTGTTGTTCGCAAAGAGCTCTTCTGACAGGGATCGATCAGTCTCGACAAGACCAGCGTGATGCAGACCAATACCAAAGCTCAGCGCCTCTCGCAGTGAGTCATCTTTGACTCTGTCGAGATTAACGGCCAGGTCGTCTTCAGACATGTGCAAGAAGCGCCTCGGGTTGTCTTCCATACCGCAGAAGTTGATGAGATCACGAGCTGTCAGACGAGTCTGGCGACGCGAAGCTACGAAAACAATAACTGGCTTTTCTGGTGAGTGCGCTTTGATCGCAAGGAAAGTAGGTCTGTTCATCGACTGCATAAGCGGACAAAAGCCCCGCTGTTGGGGGAAGCCGTCGATGAAGATTTCTAAGGGCACCGGGCGAACAGAATGCCGGAAATTGAACAAGCCCTCTTTGACACCCAGCCAATTTCCAAGATCTGATGCGTTGGCGCAAGCTGTCGACATGCCCAACAGGCGGATAGAGCCATCCTTCTTTTGCGATGCGATGTAGTTCATACGGGAGACGATGATCTCCAGAATTGGACCACGATCTCCACCCAGGAGATGAATCTCGTCAATGATAACCAGACTGACTTGGCGAACATAACCACGAGTCTGCCAACTACGACTGATACCGTCCCACTTCTCAGGGGTCGTGATGATGATATCGGCATCGCGGATAGTACGTGTGTCTGGTGTGTTGTCACCAGTCAATTCCACAAGCTTGAGACCCATTGGCCCGGCAAGTCGCTTGCCCCAATCTTGCACTCGTTCGCGGACAAGTGCCTTCATAGGTGCAATGTATACAACCTTTGAGCCTGGCTTTTCGCGGAACGCCCACCACATTGCAAGCTCAGCAGCAACAGTCTTTCCACTACCAGTCGGCGATCCAAGCAGAACATTGGCGGGGGTGTGATATAGACAGTGGAAAATTTGCGATTGCATAGGATTGAAGTACTGGAAGCGCTGTCCGTAAACTTCTTCCAACAAGGGGTTTTTCAACGCAGCGATTGGTAGAGGCTGGAGATTGAGCAGATCTGTGTAAACGCTTTCGGTATCAGGTCTGATGAGATGCTGGAAAGATATGGGATGAACCGTCTCTGCGCCCAGCCACCTATCAGACAAGACGCGAACGTATACTTGCGTAGGCAGAGGATCGGATAGAGGGATCGTGAAGTTGAGTTCGTGTTCATCGTACAGCTTCCTTCGTGAGAGGATGAAGAACTCGTGATGGTAGATCTCAGATGTCTCAGAGTTCTCTACCCAAATCCAGAACGACTCGGAAGTACCATGGTGCCGATCATTCCAAACGAAATCGGGTGTAAGGAATAGTTGTATCCGTAGCACATCCCTGTTGAGCGGGGCGATCTCAGATTCGATGCTCAGAGTTGGGAAGTTGTTCATAAGCTTGGCGATCACGCCGCCCATCTTCTTATTATGCACCATATCTCCTATCTCCATCGCGTCCATATCGCGCAAAGTCTGTATTGACGGGTATTTATGGTCGAGCGCACGCAGAACCGGTTGTGGAAGGTCATACTGATGCAGCGGATGCTGAAAAGACCAGCATCGATGTTCGATAGACTGACAAAGGCTAAGAAGTACCCGGCATTGGTAACCCCAACGCCGATTAAGCGCGATCATGAAAAGCGCACGCGCAATACGTGCAGCATTCTGGGTTATGTAATTTGTGTCCGAGGTTAGTGTGAAGTCTTCTAGTCGTGCTCGTGAAATATGAGCCTGGAGGAGATAGTTTGTCTTTCCATGCGATGTAGCATATCCATCCTTGACTTCTGTGATGACATGTCCTTCTTCTTTAAGTGCTGAAAGTTCCTTCTCTTCGGATTCACGCGATTGCACCTGGTCGAATTCGCCGCTCATGCTGACCATAGCCAAGGCATCGGCGTCCGTACTACGAGGCCGCATCATGGTGTTGAAAATCTCTATACTAGACTGCTGAACGTAATACTGACTGGCGATGCGCCCGACGTCTTTCGCTCGAAGATCTTCGGTGGTCTCGTTGAAGATTATCATCTGGCTTCTCTGGAGAATCCGCGCAGCGTCGATGATGAGCTTGCGGCGTCGTCCTACGAGCTGTGGGTCATCGCGGATCTCCGACCATTCGATACCATACATTAGCGGGCTCTTCTGCATCCGTACGAACAGATACGAGTAACCAAGCCATGTTACAGCTTCAGACACTGTGGTTACTGTACCCAAAGAGATCTCAGCATTGAGATTGTCTATCAGTTTGGCGGAAAACCTGGACTCGATAGGCTGTTGTTCGGTCACAGCGCGCATGTAATGATCAAGCCTGTCGTGTGTCGTACAAATGAAGCCAACACCAGTATCCTGAAACTGAGGTCGACCAGCACGACCGAAAATTTGCAGAACATCCAGGATACCAAGGTCGGTGAATTTTCCTTCCTGGGCGTTATAGACTTGAGTGCCCTTGATGAGGACTGCTGCAGCGGGTAAGTTGACACCCCACGCAAGCGTCGCTGTACAACAGAGCACCTTCAGCACACCCTCAGCAAAGAGACGCTCGATCATATTTCTGTCAGAACGAGGCATACCGGCGTGGTGAGTACCCATGCCTTTACCAAGCAGTTCACGTAGCTCTCGACCTTTTGACTGTTTCATGTCGCGCACAGCGTTCTCGTACCGAGGATGGTCTTGCGGGTCGAACAGGTCGGTACACTGCTCCTCCATAGCCATGTCGTACAAACGCCTAGCAGTCTTGACTGTATCTTTTCTCGAATGTACGAATACCATTATCTGGTGACCCAGCTTGAGCATCTCAACAACCTTGTCAAACGCGACCTTTTCCACATTTTCGCGTGACTTTGCAGAACCCGGCTTGCCCTTTGCGCCGATGAAATGTTGCTCAAGAGGAACAGGACGGAACGAAGCGTCAAAGTAAAACAGGCCAGCCATTTTGTTCACCCGCAGAAAGTCGGCTACGTCGACGTAGTTCGGAAGTGTGGCAGAGAGACCAACAATCCGGATCAGTGATTGAGTACTCTCGACTTGTCGTTGAGTACGTGCTACCAGACTCTCCAGAACTGCACCACGCTCATCGTGCAACATGTGGACCTCATCGATGATGAGCAGTCGTACTTTCTGTACCAACTCGGTGTCTCCGGTACTTTTTCTTGTGACAACATCCCACTTCTCTGGTGTAGTGACTATAATTTGCGTATCCAAGATCTCAGCCTTGGTAAGATGCATATCACCAGTAAGTTCGCGAGCCTTGATACCCAACCACGCCAGACGCTTTCCAAGCTTCTCAGTAACCTCTGCAGCGAGCGCCTTCATCGGCGCGACGTAGATGATCTTGAAGTCTTCCGTCATTACAGTAAAGTCGGTGGCATCCGGCTCGTCAATCGGGTTCGGCACAACGTTCTTGGCCACGGTGTTGAGAATTGTAAGCATGGCAGCGTCTGTTTTACCAGCACCAGTAGGTGCGCAAATCAGCATGTTCTCACTGGTCTTGTATGCAACTGGGTACACAAGACTCTGCATCCGGTTAAGTGTCTTGTAGCCTTTGAAGGTGCGCTGGCAAAGGCCATCCAGTTCCTGGATCTCCAGCAGCTTTCGGCCTACACCAACAGTGCCTACAGCTACTGCAGGAATCTCGTATTCTTCGTAGAGGTTGTTATCGCGGTGCACAGTGTCTGGAGGTAGCGCGTACTTCTTGCCATAAGCTGAGAGCTTGTTGCCAGCTTCGTGAGTCCGGTACACGTGAGGATATTGCGGTCCCGTTCGGTCCATAGCAGGCGCTAATGCAGCTGTCTTGTGCTCCCAGTCTGCTCGGCGCAACGCTTCTTCACGTTCGGCTCGAGTCTGTAAACGACCCATGACACCGTTGCCCTGAGCTGGAGTAGGTTCATGCAGGGATCGCATTATGTCTTTTCGATGTGAGATTAGATCCGCCACCAGGTCCAGCTCTCCGTAGCCTACAATATCGGCGAGCATCATCTGCAGCTCTTCGTCTAATTATAGTCAGTATACTAGGTATGTTGATGGTTGGTACGATGCGTTACCATTGCTATCACTGGATAAGATTGCTGATATTTGCTCTTTCAAGGCTCCTGAATCCAAGCCAGAACTGCTTCTGGCTACTTCGGAACATTTTTCTGCCAGCCATTGCTGGCTATAAGCTTCTGCTGTAACTTGTCCGTCGAGGAATTGGTCCAGATGGTCACTGCTGTACTCTTCCTCGTACTCATCACTGATGATATCCCAGATATCTTCACCGCTGGCGGTTCCAGAGAAATCGTCATCATCGAATTCAAGGTCGTCTCCGTACGCTGGCACCTTTTCAGCATCGGCAGGAAGATTGAGTTCGGCAATGGCTTTGCGCATAGCATCGAGCTGTTGGAGCCATTGGGCATGAGCATCCTCGACTGCGGGCGACATGATTGCGGTCTGCCTGGGTGTTGTGGTCAACGTGGTGGAAGTCTACGCGTTTGACCGCCTGTCACAATGGGGAGCGTGGTTTGCCTCTTTGGCAGGCTGGGCAGAATCGATGATGGATGACTGGGCTCCATTCGGCTGGACTTGCCCCGCCCCCGCGCATTAGCGCCATGACATAATCAGGAGCGCCGCGCCTTGCTGGCGGGACCGACGCATGATGCGCTATCACGGGCCTGTCGCAGGCACCTCTTTCGAGACCAGATAGCCGCAGGGCCCACACCTGCTACACTCTCTTTTGTCGTCTATCTGTACCCGCACCTTTACCTACAACTTCACACAAAAAGCCGCTAACATGAAGGTCGTCTACATTGGTGTAAGTGTCTCCTCACCGCCTTGGAGAAATCGCCTCGAGTCGCTAACAAAGTATGTAGGTCTGGAAGAATGAGACGAAACCCAGCGTCGAGCTGACATGTGAGCGCGAGCTCAGCTCCTACGGCCGCTTCACACGAGGAAGCATCAGCGAGTTCGTATGTGACAAGGCCCAGCAGATGGCCTAGGACCATGGCAGCATGGGAAAGACAGTCAAGCTGATGGGACGCGTAGATGTCGTTCTTTGCAGGCCAAGTCGCCGAACGAACAAGACCAGGACAAAGACAGGATGTGGAAGAGAAAGGTACGACACATGGCGCTCTTGCGCGCTCCTTGTCTAACAGCACCGTCAGACTACATTTTCCACGCCTACAGCCGCTCAGAAGGCGTTTGCGGCATCATAATTACCGATTTCGAATACCCCAAGCTTGTCGCCCATCAGCTTCTCTCCAAAGTCCTTGATGAGTTCGTTTCCAAATACCCCAAATCCGCCTACGCCTCCGCCACAAAGGACAGCCCGCAAATGTCTTTCCCCGAGCTCAAAGACTACGTACAAAAGTACCAGGACCCACAACAGGCAGACAGTATCATGAAGATTCAGAAGGAGTTGGATGAGACCAAGATTGTGTTGCACAAGACTATCGAGAGTGTGTTGGAGCGTGGAGAGAAGATTGATACCCTGGTTCAGAAGAGTGACGGCTTGAGTGCCCAGAGTAAGATGTTCTACACACAGGTATGTCGGGAATACGTCAAGGTTACGCGATTGGACGCTAACACCCTTTCCAGGCCAAAAAGCAGAACTCGTGCTGCATCGTTATGTAAATGCTGGAGTCGCTTTGCTGGCTTCTTGATCTTATTGGGGCGTTCACAACTGGACTTCATAGTCGAGACAAGTAATGCTGCATACCGTTTGCACTCCATACGAACAATACATTCCGTATTCCAGGGTACACATATATGCTAGTTGCGCCTATACCTAGCGCTCACTTGGTTTGTCAGGCTGACGACTCCCCATCCCGGTGGCTGTCGGTGTCGCGTGGTCAGGTTGGTGTTGTTGCCCTACGACGTTGATGACTTCATCATTTTCATTCCTTGCTAGATGCATCGGATCTGAGAAATCGTGTGCTTCGTCATCCGTTTCAGAGCTCGAGTCAGATGCGATAGAGTCTTGGTCGAAAAAGTCTTCCAAGTTTTCTCCTTGGATTGGCTCGATATTAGCATCTGAAAGGTCGCCGATTCGTCGCGCATGGGCCTCCAGATTAGTGCCCACGAGCGTCTCGAGCCTGTCCCAGCTGTCGAAATCAGTATCAGATCCCTCACTGTCAGGTGAGCTTCTCCAAACGACAAACAAATCGGTCGTAGTAAGCAATGTGTTAATCCAGGGCGCCTTCCAATCCTCCTGCATCATGCTGAACCATTCTTCGATACCCTTGATGAGGACGTCTTTAGAGTTCTCGTTGGTGAGCTCGCAGTAGGTGGCGTTCTTTTCGATCGGATCTTTGTCGCATAATAAAAGGCGGCATTGCCGTACATTGTACTCCCAGTCGTTGTTGAACGAGGTCTCAGCCCATCCATTGTCTTCAGGGCAGCGATGTGGGGACTCAGGGTCGTAATTGGGATGTCTCCGAGCATAAAGACCACATGAGCGATGTCTAGTATCCTCTGGTGTGTCTGGTGAGTAAGACAGGCGCTTCTTTTTACCCCTTCGAGTTGGTGTTCTGGGAACGATCTCATCGACTTCCGCTAAGCGTCCGGGAAACTGGACGCTCTTTGCGTACACCTCCATAGCTGCCCTGGCGCTATACGAGCGTGCAACTTCAACGTCCACAGTGGGATGTGCGGCCTCCCATGAAGCTTCTGAGAGCGCTATGTCGTCCAAGTTGTCAACGTCATTGACAAAATCGGTCTTCCGCTTGTAGTATGCACGTTTTCCAACCTGAAGGTCCTCGCCAGTACCACCTGGAGGTATGATACGCCAAGGACCGCCAGACTCCATCCATTTATCCCATAACTTTCCTAGAAGCTTAAGGTGAATTTGCAAAATGCACATAGAGCACCAAGTGATCCTGTCTCGCTCTTCGCCTTCTTCATTTGATTCGTTCTCTTGTATGTCTTCATATTCTAAACGGGGATCGCCGGGGTGTATTGGGTGTCTGCAACGCTCCGCCAGTATAAACCCTGCAAACGCTGTTTCTGGCAACTTGTCTTTCGAATCTGGAGGCCCACTAAGCACGACGCGCTGTTTCGCACGCCACTCTTCGAAGTCCATATGTTCGAAAGCGGTGGGAAGAAGGAGGTTGTCATCATCTAGTTCGGTAACGCCAAGGACAGTCTGGCGCCAGAATTTGTAGATTGTGAGTTCGTATGATAAGAAGAGCGCGGAGGCTTTGGGCTCAATCTTTCGTGACAGTGCCCCCATAAGCTTCGATCGCACGTCCAAGGCAGACGTAGGCTTGGTTTTTGGAAGGTGACTTAGTAGTAAAAAGCTCAGGTTGGCAGTGAAAAGCTGGTACCAAGAGTTGAGAATGGTATAGAGTTGAATGTATCTCTTTCGGTGCTTCGTATGGTTGTTATCTAAGGAAACAGGAACTGGAGCGCTCGGGTCAGGTGCAAGGTTCATGAGTTACCGGCTCCCTCCTACAATGGCGTTTGTTCGAGACGTAAGTTACATTCACTTTCACTGACGTCATACTCCTCGGTGACTTGCCTGGAATGCTGTTCATGCCTTTGATGGAGGCCAGAGAACACTCTTAATAAGAACAGCAGGAAAGCTCCTTGGTGGCTGAAGGGAGTATTCACAGTGTGCACTAGTGCGAGTAGCCAAAGGGTGCAACGAGCACAATGAGAGCCAAGATATACAAATATTCAGGTTATGAGAGTTTTGCACAGAGGAACAACGAAGCGCTTAATAGCCCAAAGGAGATGCTGGAGTTAATCAGCTACACTAACATGGTCCTCTTCGTACGACTGAAATCCTCCAAAAACTCTTTCGTGTCAGGATGATCTGCGCCACAACGCTTCTCGGTACCAATGTAAGCCCGCTCATATAATTGTAGAGCCTCTTCATATCGCTCTTGCTTGGAAAGGGTGTCTGCGAGGGTATGAACACCAACCAAGGTATCACAGTCATCAGCTCCCAGCAGTCTTTCACTCTCCATAACGAGGCGACGGCAGACAGCTTCCGCTTTATCGAGATGGCCTTGTTGGACAAGCGTCTCAGCGAGACTATTCATTGTCAGCAAGGCTTCTTGTCGCGCCTTCTCATCGAGGTCGGTATATATGTCGATGACGCTACGATATTGCGCCACTGCCTCGTCCAGCATGCGTTGCTTGATGAGCGATTCGCATAGAAAGTTCACACTCTTAATTGTCTCCGAGTGGTCCAGTCCAGATATTCTCGTCCTGTACTCCACAACCTGACGATGTATGTTCTCGGCTTCCGCAGCTTTGCCTTGCATGTTGAGCAAGGCGCCCAAAGCACGTAAGCCCTGGTACGTATCATTGGTCTCTTCGCCATAAGCTTCTTTCTGTATAGCGTGCACTCGTCGATGGATCGCTGTAGCCTGCTCGAAACGCTTGTTGTTCATATATGTGAGCGCAAGTCCGGCCATGAGCGACTGCGTCTCGATACTGCGAGGTCCATAAACTCTTTCGTATCCCTCAATCGTGCGCATGTGTATGGCCTCGCCTTCTTCGTACTTTCTCTGCTTATTCAATCGTGCTCCCAGCTGATTTGCACTGTCTAGTGTATCCATGTGGTCGGGGCCTAGCAAAGTCAGTCTGCCTTCGTATGCCCTTCGAAACATCTTCTCCGATTCGTTATGTCGATTGAGAACGCTGATCGCTAGACCGAGTTGGTGGTAACTGCGAAGGGTATCTTCACAATGAGGACCTTGAACCTCTTCCAGTGCTGCCAGTGCCGTGCGACCCATATCCTCTGCTGAGCTATAGTCCCCTATCACGTATGCAAATCGTGATATCATTTGGATAAGGGGTGCCCACGTCAGAAGCAAGACTCTATCCTCTGGCCGGTAGCTGGCGGCCTGCTGAGCATGCGGGAATAGGTACTGGCAGACCTGCCAGTTATCGTGTTCTGGCTTCGGAAAGCAATCTCGAATGATGGAGACATATCTTTGCATCCAGGCCTTCAGCTCTCCGTTGATGTCCAACCACCTCTTGGTAGTGTATTGCACTAGCCTGTGCATACTGAAATGACATCCGTCGATGTTCGTTCTGATAAGCGCAAAGTTTGTAAGCACTCTCCAATCCTCATCGAAGCAAGTAGACGTGGTGGTTTTATTACCAGTTGCCTTCTGCTGAGCCACACGCTGGCGCCGCCTTAGGTATAATCGCCGCCATCTGATTCGCTTCCACCAATTCAGGCGGGGCTGAAGTGGGGTTGCTGAGGCGGTTACTTCCTCGCCCTATCGACCGGGGAGAAGCGGTTCCGGGATGCCCTGTCGACCGAACAAACACATCAGCGACAGAAGTCTTGCAGCCGAAGGATGCGTTTGGCGCACATACTGAAAGGATAGGTGCCAAGTCTTGACAATCGAGTTAGTCCTGGTAGTATCTCGACTTGTTTCGTGCGCACTTGTTTCTAAGAGCTGCACTGTTTCTTCACTCGGTGCCTGAATTCTCTCAGTGGCCTTCGAAATTGTGAGGCGTGGGTAGTTCATGCTGATGTTTGTCGCAATTTGAGATATTGCTAATGGCATGAAGTCGACCGACTTGACAAGCTCAGCAGCTTCAGCTTCGGTGTAGATAACCTTGCTGCTGAGCTTCTTCTTCAAGAGAGCAATCGCTTCAGACTCATTCATCTCGTCGACATCAATGTGGTATGCGCAGTTTCCGGTGATCATCTGCGCAGCCTCGATATTCCTTGATGTGACGAGAATAGACCCTTTTGTCGAAGTGGTGATAAAGTTTCGAATCTGCGGCATGGGTGAATCATCGTTAATGCTATTACTGGATGTGACTCTTGGGGCAGGCGCAGTCAGAATGTCAACAGAGTCGACATTGTCCAGGATCAGGGTCCATGGACCGTTAGAGTCGTCTTTGAGCCAATCATGCACCATAGTAAAGATGTCTGCCGCTTTCTCGTCCCAGCCTCGAAGACCGACTGCCTTCGCTATCTTCCGGAAGTCTTGAGCGACAGTGGCTGGCGTATCGAATGTCACCCAAAACACCCAGGTATCCGGTGCGGCTTTTCTTACGCGATAGCTGTATTCGATAGCTATGCGTGACTTGCTAAACCAGGTATCAGCGGAAGTCATACATAAAATCATGATTGGCAGTATCGTCCGTTGCCAGCGTCAGTTCGAGCACGTACCCAGCGCCGCCAATACCTAGCAAAGCCGACCTTGACCCGGCTTGACATCGCGTCGTAACGTCACACATGACGTCTCGCTCTACGAAGTCCGCCTCTCGCTCAAACGGACAAGTACTTGTTGGTTGTAGTGAGGATTTCTCATCTGAAAACAAGACATTAGCCTATGTCCTTGGAATAGTGTTGAAGAATGGAATATACGTACTACTCGAATGGAGTGCCACGCTCGATAGGCCATAATTCATGGCTTCCATGTATCTCCGAATGACTTTATCCAGCTCGCTCACATCGCTGTCGTATTTAACGCTTTTGATGGACTTCCAGCCACGTGTAGCTCCTTTATCGCCAGGTTTAAACAAAACCTTGTCAATTATCGTCTCCAACTTCTTGATCTGATTGAAGCACTCTTCGATCGCGGGCTTTAATGCTCTCCTTGCATCATCTGTCATATCCTCAACCTTCGCATTCGTATCTCGAAGCTTGAGAACAAAGATGGGTAGTCGGGTGCTGACATGTTTGAAAGCAGTGGGCAGACTATCCTCTTTCTTGCGATATTCATTCAGACGCTCAGCAACCCTCACGCTGATATCGATAACCTGAAGAATGCTAGCAGCGACACTAAGGGCTGCAAGTTCCGCCATGGCATTGCGAGAGGACGGGAAGACTAGTTGAAGACAAAGAAGTCGTAGGCAAGGGGCAGGCAGTAAGACAATATCATGGAGGGGTGAAAGGACTGAGTTTGTGCAGGATGAAGGCGCAGCAAGACTGCGACAACTTGTGATGCATCGACATGGGGTGGCGGCAACAGTGATTCGCTGATTGCACGTACGACGGAAGTGCGAAGGATGCCGTGCGACGCGCCACGAGGCAGCCGCTGCGATGGAGACCGACTACGCATCCCAAGAAACGATCCGAACGCTCAGAGTGGACTGACAATAGTTCGAAAAGGACAAAATCAAGAATCGTGAACTGGCAAGCTGATGCGTGTAGCCAGTGGGTGACTGATGACAGGGGAAAGCGAGCTCCGAATGAACAGGCCTCAACAAACTGTGGTATGCTTTGGTTATCTTCATAACTGTGCGTGTGACCTATGCCGAGTGAGGAGCTTTTGGTGACTTCATTACAGCGTCCATCTATTAGACCATGTGCTGTCGTGTTCTGGGAAGAAGCGTGAGGCAGGTGCGGCTTCCCAACCTTCCTGGACGAGCTACCGGCGCTAACCCAGAACACGACGGAAGCGAGCATCCAAAGGTAGGGAACAACGTCTTCAAAAGAATATTATCAGAATAGCAATGTTATTATCAGGCTTTCGTTCCTGTCGTCTGTTACCTGACCCGACGCCGAACTACAGGTACTAGCTATGTATCGTTCCAATTATGCTATACGAGCTGGATATCTGAAGAAGAAAAATGAAGAAAAGTGACTACAACTCCCTCGATTTGCCGACGCCTTCGTATCGGAAGCCCAATGCCTCCAGAGGCACAGGGTCGACGACATTACGCCCGTCGAACACGTACATGGGCCGTCGCATCACTTGCGAGATGCGCTTCCATGATATCTCTTTGCGCATTGCATCCATGTCGCCACTACGTACCGAGTCTCCACGGGCATGTGCAGAACTGCTCTTGTTGCTAAATTCGTCCCACTCCGTCAATATGACCACGGCGTCGGCGTCAGTACACGCGTCATAGGTCGAAGAGCAGACGGCGAGCCTGCCTTTGATGCTTTGCGGGTGTGGGTTACTGCTCTCGATATCGTGCCGTATTTGCGATTCCTTGACCTGGGGATCGTAGATTCTGACATTCGCACCCTCTGCGAGAAGGTTATTGACGACTGTGATGGCTGCTGATTCACGCGTATCCCCTGTGTCTTTCTTGTACGCGAAGCCGAGGATCGCAAGTGTCTTATTTGAGAGCGAGTTGTACAAGCATCGCACAATACGGCGGGTAAATCGGTCCTTCTGGTACTCATTAATGTCGACTACCGACCGCCAGTAGGCAGCGACTTCGAACAAGTTCAGCGACTCCGCAATATATGCCAAGGACAAGATGTCTTTGCGAAAGCAAGAGCCACCGAACCCAACTGATGCTTTGAGCATTCTAGACCCAATGCGCTTGTCTAGTCCGACAGCGTAGGATACCTCATCGATATCTGCACCTACTGCTTCGCACATGGCACCCAACGCGTTGACACTGCTGATTCGTTGAGCAAGCAGAGCGTTTGCAGCTAACTTTGCCAACTCTGAGCTGAATAGATTTATCGTGATGATACGCTCCGCGCTGACCCAAGCAGAGTAGATCTGGGCAAGGGCTCGTGCAGCCGCCAGTCCTTGAGGAGTCTTCAGAGAGCCGATCAGTACGCGGTCGGGATTCGAGAGATTTTGAATGGCGGTTCCTTCCGCTAAAAATTCGGGGTTCGACAATATCTCAAATTCTACTCCAGGTTTGCTTGTTGCTCTCAGAACGTCTCGAAGTGTGTCTGCTGCTCGGCAAGGTACAGTGCTCTTCTCCACAATAATCTTATTGTCTGTCGCTACAGCTCCAATCTTTCGAACAGCAGACTCCAAATACGACAGTTCGCTTGCATGTCCTGCACCTTGGCCCAATGTCTTGGTTGGGGTGTTTACACTCAACAAGATGAGTTCAGCTTCGGCAATGCCGCGGTCGACATCTGTGGAGAAGAAGAGGTTTGGTGCCCTCTTGTTTGGAATACCGTCGCGTGATGGTTTGACCATCTCCATGAGGCCAGGTTCGTATATGGGGAGTTCGTCTGATTGCCATGCAGCAATACGCTTGCTGTCGTAATCGACTACTGTTACCTGGATGTTGGGATTCGCGTTCGCCATGACTGCCGAAGTCGGCCCTCCCACGTATCCTGCACCAACACAACATATCTTAGTTATGCGGCCAAATAGCTTGGACTCGTTGCTGGAGCGGTATGAGGGTGCCGGAATAGGCGCATCTTGCCGCGTGTGGGTAGACATGAAAGGTATAAGATAGTTGAGAAAGAATGTGAAGGGGGGTTCAACTAGTCTGCTCAGTTGGATAATGATGAAGTAGTCGCTGTGGAAGCCAGAAGGATACCTATAGGTACACAAGGCTATCGAGATCTCGAATGAGATATCCGCAAGCCGCGGACAAGCACCAAGCGACCACCCGCACTCATACTCGCCTGGACGGCTATCGGCATCTTCTACCACCTAGGTTTTATTTATAAAGTACCAATCTGCACTTACTGTGCCGAGCATGGGCCTTGACGTATTGGACCGTTTGGAAGCGTTTGGTCAGAAGTTGAGCACTAGCGCCTCGGAAGTGCCGGGGTCGCCACGGCTTCCTAGGTATTGACGGGGTGCCTGCCAAGCAAGCCTTAGCAACGTCGGTCGTAAAGTCAGTGATGTAATCCTTAGCGTGGAAACCCCACAATACTCGGCGAGGCTAAACTCTGCTGCTGGGTTGAGCAAAGTGCGGCTATGCGTTCATGCGTTCGATTAGTCTTGTTGCAGAATTTCTAGATCCACGCCGAGTTGTTCAGTTTTTCCCTCTGGTCCAAGGACATCGCAGAGGATCGAAGTACTACACAACACTAACAAAAATAGACCATGTTCAAGGAGCTAATATCGGAATTCGGCAACAGATAATCACAGCAAGGTGAGGCAGTGTGCCTAAGATGATGGCTGAGCTAGGCTCTATGGTGCAGCTAATTGCAAGCATTGTATCGGTGAGCCAACACATAGAGGCAGTCATCACACCTTATTCGTTCACGCTGGAGATACAGTACCTGAATCCGGTCATCCCCGTCTTACGCTACGAGGATTCATCGCGTGACATGGCATATATCATGCCTTGCGGGGCGTGAATAGACACGCATGTAAAGAGGCTAAGACGTTAGCGAACCGCAGCAGTCTCCGAAATTGACGATGAGAAGCTAAGTAGCTTTGTCGGTCATAGCCGCAGTGGCGCTACAGTCTCTTCCTACCACCCCTTTTCGGCCCAGATATCGGTTCAGCCAACTCAAATTGGACGAGTCTTTGACTGTACGCAGCCCCATTGCCAGCGCGCACACGACTCTCCCCTACTCAATCAACAAAGACAACAGCAACATGGAAAAGATTGAGATGACTCAGCCCGAGCCGATCCCAAAGCAATCAACCAGCGAGGACGAAGAGTATCCTGCTGAACACCTCTTCAAAGAGAACGAACCATTGCTAGATCTCGAGAGTCAACATGAGGAGAAGCAGGAGCTTGCTCATCGAGCAACCGAACCGGCCGTCAGCCGGACGAAGACTTTCGTGTTTCTGGCAACTTATTTCATAATGAATCTGAGTCTTACCTTCTACAATAAAGCAGTCATGGGCTCGGTATGTAGCACGTATCAGATTGGGTGTGAACATCGAGCTAATAGAACATACAGTTCCCATTCCCATGGATTCTGACAGCAGTACACACCGGGAGTGCTGCTCTTGGAAGTTTGGTTTTCTTGATGTTTGGAAATTTCCAGTTGACGCGACTGACAACGCGCGAGCATCTGGTACATTTCATGTTCTCGCTGCTGTTCACGCTGAACATCGCAATGTCTAACCTGTCGCTGTAAGCAATCGTGCCCTCTCCAATCTTGAGTCAATCACTAATGAGGACTTACAGGGCTATGGTTTCAGTTCCTTTCCATCAAATCATGCGGGCAACCTGTCCACTTTTTACGATCCTGATCTATCGCCTCGTTTTCTCTAGAAGATATGCTGTCATAACATATCTGTCTATTGTCCCTGTAATGCTGGGTGTCGGTCTAGCGACCTTCGTAAGTAACGCCCCTGCACGAAATACATGCGAGACACAAGCTGACTTCGTATACCAATCTTTAGGGCGACTACTACTTCACCGCCCTGGGTTTCACTCTAACTCTTATCGGTGTGGTCCTCGCAGCCATAAAGGTAAGCAGAATCCGAAGGATCATGTACATTATTCACTAAGGATTCTGACAATTAAAATAGACGGTCGTTACCAACCGTTTGATGACAGGGCGCCTGCGACTACCCGCACTGGAGCTACTTCTCCGCATGGGTCCCTTGGCTGCTGTGCAATCTCTGCTCTATTCCGTACTCATTGGCGAGTTCTCGGAATTCCTTGATTTCGTAAAAGCTGGGCATCTGACAGCGGAGAGGATTCTGACAGTCTCGGGTAACGGCCTGCTTGCGTTTGGCCTTAATGTCGCGTCTTTCGAGACGAACAAGCTGGCAGGCGCGCTGACATTGACTATCTGCGCGAATTTGAAGCAATGTCTAACCATTGTATTGGGAGCTTTCTTGTGGGACGTGCCTGTCAGTCCCATGAATGGAGCCGGCATACTCCTAGCTCTTGCAGGCGGAGCGTGGTACAGTAGCATAGAGCTTAGGGCAAAGGCGAGAGCCAGTGGATGAACGAATGACTTGTCGCGTCAGGCTTTTGTTAGTGTGGCACGCTAGTCATGGATATGAATGAGCACGTCCAACCGATCGCTTGGGGCACCAAGCGAAGCGCCAACGTTCCGTTCTTCCCGTTTTCCCAGCGGAATCTGCCTCGCTCCATCAACCTCTTTAGGGATCATGCAATTCATGCAAAACCATAGTAGAATACCATATATGACGCCACAACATACCTTGCCACGGGATCACACGGCATGCACCGCAAGGCGTGCGTTGCTTGGCTGCGAGCAGACTAAAATTAGCATTAACTTACCATTGATCATATCATAGTCAACTCTAGAGAGTTGTGGCTCAACACACCTGCGCCATGCCTCGTCCCAGGACTCTCGCTGCTGGAATCGTGGCTTTTGCGACCCTAATATTTCTCTGGACTGCGCTACATCTTGGGTCACTCGACGCCATACGTGGAGCCACGGCACAAGATGCGCTCACGAGCAGTCTTAAAGAGTCACGTCTTCACCTACTCATAGTGGCTACCAGCAGTGGCCTCGATTTATGCCGCCTCCTTCTCTCCGCCTCCATTCTCTCGTACCCAACCCCTGTTTTGATCGACTGGGCCGGAGAGGGTGCATTCAATGCAGCAGAAACCCACCTTGCGAAGATCGCAGGTCCCCTTCGCTACCTCGAAAACCTAACAACCATTCAGGATAACGACATAGTCCTTCTCCTGGACGGTTTCGACATCACCTTTCAACTCAGTCCGGACGTATTGTTAAAACGGTACTTCGAGGAAACGGCTACTGCAAACGAGCTTTTGATTGCCAAGTATGGCAAGAGCCATGTGCGGAAACACAACATGCACAACAGCATCCTCTTTGGTCCGGACAAAACATGCTTCCCTGGAGATATACAGCGTTTAGCATGCTGGGTTGTACCGCAGTCGCCCCTCCAACCCGATGCATTTGGCCCTTATACCGACGGTTGGGGCGATATGCTACACGCAAGACCACGCTGGTTAAACTCTGGCACCATCATCGGACCCGCGGCAGAAATGCGAGATATGTTTCGTGCGACTCAAGAGAAGATCCATAAGACGTATGATCCTGAGTACGTGTTGCGCAACTCTGACCAGAAGTATTTTGCGGATGTATGGGGCGACCAGGAATATTCGCGTATATTGTCGCATGAGGATGTGCCTTATGGAATACCTCAAGAGGTCCAAGAAGCTGGTCTACCGGTGCTTGAGGAGGGTCAGAAGACTGAATATCATATCGGTCTAGATTACCGATCAAGCTTATTCCAGACAGCGGCTGGATACAGGAATTACATAGCGTGGATGACGACAAACCGGTCTTCGTTTCCATCAACATCAACGTCCGTGGAACCGTACCGCATAGATCTACAAGAAGACGTGTTACAATCCAAGAAGCCTTTTGCTGCCATTTCTGACGACGCAGCATTACAAAAGACTTCTTGGCGTAATGTGTCTCTCGGCTTCAACACTGTCACTGGGCAGGCTTTTCCACTGCTACACTTCACAGGCGATAAGTCCTTCCGAGACACTTGGTGGCCCCGTATGTGGTATTTCGAAGAGGCTGAACGCCTTCAGCGTGCGTCTGCTCAGATACACGATCAGCAGATCGGATCAGACCTTATCAATGGGGTTTCTTGGACAAAGAATATACCATACGATGAGACAGAACGCAAGGTTGAAAAGAAATCTGGAGCTTGGAGTGATCAGGGAGAAGCGCTCCCATGGGAAGCTCTTTGCGGATCTCACGAGCGCGCTTTGTACAGTTCAGAGTCGGGACCTGAAGATGTTCCGTTTGCGGAGACTATATACCACTGAATTTTTCAACGGCGGGGGTTATATTAATTACATGTCGATACCATCATAGATTCCTTACACGAAATCGTTTACTTCCAAGGTTCCGCCACATGTTATCTTTGGCAAATATATGTCTAGTCTCATTTTCCACACCTACTCGTATCAGCGCTTTTCACTAGAGATCCTGCGCTTACTGTGATATGTAATCGACCGAATAGGTGTCAAATGCCGTGGAAACACTAGTGACCTGTCTCGGCAGACTTGTTCCGATGCCTGCAACCACACTTCGGTACCCACACCCTGCACGTCCATCCGCCATTTCCCGGAGTGGAATCGACAATACACTAGCGAGCATCGCTACCAACGCCACACGGCTATGGCATCCGATTAGTCCCAATGTAAGATTGTATACTAGCAAAGCGGACTGATATCACACACGGCTCATCGCCGGCATGTGCCATACGCTTGCTCAGGTTCAAGTGCTTTGCCAGCTCACATAGTGCAAACGTCGCACTCCAGCCGTGTGACTGCATCTGCATAATCGATGCGTGGGTACAAGCAAGTCTCGAGCGAGTACCTGGACGCCGCAGTCGGTCGACTACCGACTCTGAGTCGACGGCGCCGGGTACTCGTCGCAGCGACTTTCATACTCCTTGTCATTTTACTCTTTGCTGTCAACGATGACCGTCACCTTGTTCCAAATTCTATACCCTCATCCCTCTCCTCTCCATTTTCTGGCAAGAAAGATACACCGAAGAAGTCCGCGATCCTTCACCTTCTTATCCCTGCAGATCACAAAGATGTCAATCTTTGCAAAACAATGCTAAGCGCTGCAGTGGCTGGATATCCAACTCCAACGCTGATCAACTGGGGTGCCAAATTCGACGATAAAACGCTCGTGGCTGGAGGTTCGCATTTAGCCAAGATCAGTGGTGTACTCGAGTATCTGCGTACACTTGGACCGGAGCGTGACGACGACCTATTATTGCTTGTGGATGGATATGATATCTGGTTTCAACTGCGTCCCAGTGCGCTGGTATCGCGCTTCCACGCCATCAATAACGAGGCGAACACGCGGATACAGCAAACTATGGGTTCGAAAGCAGCAGCTGCAGAAGGGATAAGCCAAAACATCATCTTTTCTGCGCAGAAGCGGTGCTGGCCATGGAAGCCAGAAGACCCACCTTGTTACGCTGTTCCGCAGTCTTCGCTGCCAAACCACATCTACGGCCCCGAAACGGATACGGATATTGGATTTGAGAAAAATCCATATGTTAAGTTTCGGCAACGCTATCTCAACTCTGGTGATGCGATGGGTCGCGTAGGGGCGATGAAGGCCCTCTTCGAACGGGCGATGGAAAAGGCAGAAAAGGACCGGAACTTCGGCAGTGATCAAAAGATCTTCAGTGAGATCTTCGGAGACCAGGAGTTCCAGCGAGAGGTCATGAGACAGCGGCATCGGAATGTTTTCCAGAAGATGGGAGGCTGGTTAACTGGTAGGAACAGTATCCTCAACCCACAGTCTGAGCGACACTTGCGCGATCACAAAGGAGGAAAACCCGATGAGTTCGGTATAGGGTTAGATTATGCTAGTCTGCTTGGCCACCCGACGGTGTTTGCAGAGGAAGATTCAGCATGGGTGACATATGATGACCCCAAGTCTATCGCGCAAGCCTCCGCCGAGCTCAAAATTGCGCCAGTACGCGTACATGACCTCGCCCAAGATGTCACAGACTCGCAGCCACCATTTCGCCCAGCAGTCGTTGCTCCCGGTTCCACCTTCTCTGAAGATAAAACCTGGCGTGAAGTCCCTCTCTATACCAACATGTGGACGAGAGTCGTTCCTGGTCTCATTCATCACAATGCTCATCGAGACGGACTGAAGTCGCTGCGCGTCTCGGTCTGGGATCGCATGTGGTACTTCAACCATTCTAGAAAGTTGTTTGAGTCGAACGCTGCCGGACCGGTTGGTCCCGTCGCTGTCGTGCACGATGATGATGGGAAGGAGCAGGCGTGGTGGAGTCCGATTGCAGAGAAGGGCGGAGCGAAGTCGGACAAGGGTGAATGGCTACCATGGGATGATTTGTGTCAGGAGTTTGAAGGCGAGGTGTTCAGGGATAACTAGATATTCAGCTCATTGTTTAATGCGTTTCAATGGAAGTCAAAGACAGCCCAAGTGTATATCGTTGGCCTATGTGCATGTGTTATTGAAGCTTTGGAAAGCAGAAATATATAACGTCAGAGTGACCGTAGAGGAGACGCAATACCAGATAAACGAACTGTGGTTTTGGGGATCTTGGAGACCCCATGAAGACGGGACAAGCAGACCCAGATCCACTCTCAGGTCTAGACTACCATGATCGCAGCACCCACAACACGAAGCACGACCGTTTTCGACCTAGAGAATAGGGAATCACATGAACCAATCGGTGACACCATCCCAGTAGTTGGGGTCATCATCATCGTCCATTGTCGAGCCTGGACTCCCGCCACTTCTAGTGTGTTCCAATTTCATCGCCTCTTGCACAGTGGGCCATTCTACCGCACACGTATCTACTCCGTCGTGTGTCTATTGGTTGTCGTTGGTACATGCAGTAGAAGTCTCTGCCTAGTAAGACCCGCAGTAAGACTCGTCACTTTCTTCATCGCTCTCGTCATCGCTGATAGACACCATGTCGAAGCTGCATTGCGCAGGGTTTGGAAGCTCGACCCATGTATCTTGGCTGGAAACTGGACTAATCATATCGTACTCAGCAGCGTCTGAATCTGAGGTGCTCTCTCGAATGTCAGTTTCCAGGTGGCAGACGGTACTAGGAATCGGACGGCGATAATTCTGTTTGATTGGATCCAAGTCTACAGGGTGGGGTTCGAGTAGTGGTGACATGCGCTGCTGAGACTCTCTACAATTGTAGCGATCAGATAAGGTAGCAGTATCCAATGAAGATGTATCCGCTGTTACGAGATTTGGTACTTGTGCACCTGGAGCGAAATCGGTATTCCACGCACGCTTCGTCTCCAGCCTATCATACAGATCTGTAACGGGTGAACGAGAACAGTCTTCTGGTGGTACAGGGGCGGATGAATCAACAAGAGCGGCTGCATTGTTGTCTGTGAAAACTGGGGCCCCAGTCATAGGTTGCTGGGATGCGGAAATGCTACCATGCCCGATGAGGTGCCCATCGGCGAAGAACTTGGATTTTTTCTTGGGTTGTAAAGGAAAACTATTGCATTCGGGAGGCATATCAGGGTCAGCTGCCACCAAAGGGCGTTGCCAACGGCCATGGAAATGTGAGTTGACGATTGTGCGTACATCATCGAGGTAAGGCTGTTCTCGTCTCAGGCTGCAATCAGAGGTCGAACCATAGCTCTCATCGTTTGCTATGCAATGTTCGGCGGATAGAGTAGTTTGCGCCAATTGTATCGGGGATGTTGTAGACGCATCGGGTGGCATGTTGCATCTTGTAGGAAAGTCGAAGAGCATTGGACGGGACGTCTTCGAAACCTGTGTCAACGGCATTGGAAACGCTGGTTTCTCCTGCTGGATATCTGAGTCGAACGTGGATCTGATAGGCACTATTTCGAAACTTTTCGACGCGAGTGCAGAGCATGCTGCGCTTGTTACTGCGTCCTGTGTATGAGAGGAGGACGTGGGTGGAACTAAGAACTCTGGATAACGCAAGTCTTCCTGAACGCAACTTGCTCCCAGAAATCTGGATTTGGATGGATACCGTCCTGGAGGGTCTGGGCAGGCAAGAAATGCGGAAAGTGGGAAAAATCGTGGATTCTTTCGTTCAGCCTTTGGGACACTAGAACGGGTTTGACATTGCGGCATTCTGATCTGGCATGGTTGCGACTCGTCGGGCACCTTGTGTTCCTCCGATATCACCGCTGTCCGTGCAGGGTTGGTCGTAGCGGCCATCGAATTCGGCAGGAACTGTGGGGCCCAGAGAGGCCTGTCGACATCGAAGGAGGTAGCTTTGGTAGTTGCGGCACTTGAAATATGGGTGGCAGTTTCTGGCATCCCTGGTTGGGACGGCTCGTCATCATGGAGACGTAACGCAGCGAGTCTCTTACACAGCACGCTAATGCTGTTGTGATCGCGCCCTGCAGTGACCTTCTTGGTCGTTTCTTTGCTTCTGTGTCGTTTTCCACCCCGCTTGCCTCGCCGCTTTGTGCTTCTACTCGAGGTGGGTGCGAGATCGAAATCCTATCTCGTCTCGGCGGTCGACTGGTTCAGCTCTGCCAAAACGCTAAATCTGTTTGCTGTAATGACTTAGTGACTTGATAGCATCCACATGGGAGCCAACGAACGAGTAGGGGTGAATTCGTGCTGATGAGGACAAGTCGTCAAGCAGTACTTGGCAGAGATGGCCCCCGTATCACGTTCTCGACAATCGGGGCAGCGATAGTCCTTGAGAGGACGCGCAGGCATGGAGGTCTTGTCATGGTAGGATGGTTGAGCTTGTCCCAGGATCATGCTATAGGTGTAACGAAAGGCGATGTGGACTAGGAAATACAGAGCAAATGAGAACAGGGTGACAGGATGATGGACTTGGTATCTCTGTGTTATGACGTGTGGTAGTAGGAGAATGGAGTATGCAGAAGACAGTCTAGTGTTGATGGCATGTGACGGAAGGCTGTTTCTCTAAGGAAGGAAACGCTGGCTGTGCAACCATATCTCTAGTTATGCCTTCCAGCATTGCACGAGGAAGTCACGTTCTCTCTTGGCGAGGAAGGCACGACCAATGCAAGCTGAGGTATGGATGCCGATGAGGTTAGCGTGGAGTCTTTCACCCTGACTGGAAGTGGACACAACATGAGACCACACAAGACAAACGCGTAAAGCGAGACATCATAGACAAAGAAAAGTTGTCGCCTCGCCGTGTCTCAGTGAGGGCTGGTGGGAGATGACAAATGGAGCTTAAGCTAGGGCCATGACCTCAGAGTGCTTGAGCTAAAATTGGTGGGGAAGCCATCTCTCCATCTCTGCCTGGACTTCTTTGCTGTCGACTAACCCCACCTCGCAAATACCCTCGCCGCACACATCTCCCGTCCCAGGGCGCTCCAGGATAATTGGCAAGAACCACGAAGCTGCAATTACCTGGAGCCGCTTCCGCATCCGCTGTCGCACTTAGACTACCACCTTCCTAGCAAACATGGCCGACACCGCCGCACGCCCAGGCTTCGCGCAGAAGCAGCACCGTCGCCCAGGATCGCGCATCGTGCCTGCCATCCCATACCGTCTGTCCAAGTCTCAGCCATCTGCCAGGCCCATTACTCCAGAAGGCTCCCACAAAGGCGCCGTCGCTCAGCTATCTGAGCCGCAGCCGGAGCCGCAAACAGTGCCGGAGAAGCAGATCGAAGAGCACGCGGAACAGAAGCATGCAGAGCCTGTGCAAACCCCTCTCACACCCGAGTCGGACGTTTCTGGTGTCGACAAGGGAGAGCTGCCAGCAGATGGCTTGGCTAGCCCATCGCAGAATGGGCACAAAGCGCCATCAGACGCTCAGGGTAGGTTTCCGCTGTGGGCTGCTTCTAATGTCCAACACACACTAAGTTCTGAAGATGCAGGAAACCAAGTCAACGGACATACCAATGGACATGCCGACGAGAAGCCTCCCCCGCCGACGGAGCCCAGCGCCGAAACGAAGCCAGCCGTCAACGGGGTGCACCGCAAGTTGACCATACCCTCTCACCTGCCCCCACCCTTCTATCCCTCGAACAAGACCGATACGCCGCCGGCAGAGGGGAGTGACACTCCATCGCATCGACACCAGCTCAGTGCAGGCGCCCTAGTCTTCAGGAGCGCAAATGAGTCACCAGCACCTCCTGTGACATCTCAAGAGCCAGAGCTCCATCCACACGAACAGCATGTGCTGCCCCGTCCTCCGCCTGGCTTTGGTCCCCAGCAATTTGCGCCCTTCTTTCCGGGTCATGCTCAGCATCCCTCTCAGGCAGGAGCGCCCTGGCACATGCCCCCAAACACAGTTGCGCCGCCTGATCCCACGTACGCAAACGGCTCTGATTTCCGCCCCTCCCAGTTTCCTAGTGGTCCGGACGGCTACTCGAACCCTTACAACGGCCATTTCTCGTTGGAACAGGCACCTTTCGTCGCAAATGGTACCCTCACCTCTCATTCGCAGTCACCGAGCAAGACACAATTTGGCGAGACGGTACCGACTTCAGAGCATGGGGAAGAGCATCGTGCGTTGCCCTACCAGAACGGCACTGCGCCTCCTCCCGCTGAGCGCCTAGAGGAGTCGCCTTTTGAGCTTGCGGGTTATCTTTCTACGCAGTTTGGGAATCCAGAATTCGCCGACTTTGTCCTCCAAGTCCGATCTCCGGAATCGATCCTGGTATCAGTGCCTGTGCACGGCATCATAGTGGTACGCAGTCCAGTCATAGCAGAAGCTATCCGTCGCAGTCCTGTCCCAAGTCATCGTAGCAGGGATGCGCGTCGGCTAGTCGATGTCGTCGCGCTGGACCCTTTCACCACTGGCGAATCTCTGGGAGAGGCTGTCAGAGTGCTGTATGGTGCCCCACTTCTTTCCGCCCAGACCTTCCTCTATGGCCTCGCACCTTACATGTACGAGAGTGACCAAGCAACTCCCTCCAATGACGCTCGCCGGCGCATGCAACAAATTCTGAGTTATATTGCGGCAGCAAGGACTTTCCAGATACCTAGCATGCAGGCACGTGGCATCGAGATTGCAAGGATGCTTCTTCGATGGGACACTGTGGAACAGGTCTTGCAATACATCCTGCAAGCCAATTCTGGACCACGGTCAAGAGCCGAAGGACCTGATACGGACGACCCCTTCATCTCAACGCTACTGAACTACGCTCTTGAGTTCCTTGCCTTCACCTTTCCTATCGACTTCAAGCTGTACACCATAGCGCCTGAGTTCTCTGACGCACCACGTCTGCCTGCAGTCGTTGAGAATCGCCAGGCCGCGCATAATCCACGGCTAAGCAAGATTCGCTTCGGTGATGCACCGACGGAAGATGACCACCAGCCCAGCCATTCGACTGTCGTGTTGTCGACCATTCTTCTATCGCTACCGCTTCCGCTCGTAGAGCGCCTCTTCAATCATCGTGCGACAGCGAGCCAGATTGGGTGGACTGGTGCTAATAAGATCTTACGGGATGTCGTCAACGAGCGCGAAAATCGACGCCAGAAAGCTTCAAGAAGCCAGTTGAAGCCGACTCAAGATGGCACAATTCCTGCCGGGCTGCTAAGCAACGTCTATCTTGAAGAGCGCGTGGAACAGGTCGAGCCGTCGCCGCTGCATCCTTCTGGTCATCGCTTGGCGACAAAACGGGTCGCTGGTGAGACCTGAGGGGCCGTCCGAACAAGTGGAGCCTCAACGACGTTAGTTCTTTCTCATGTCAAAATTCGATATCGGCACTCATTTTCTGGCCGAAACATACAAATCGGGTAGGTTCTTTCCTTGGGTTGTATAGCATAGTGAGCGTTTATGGGCGTTCACGCAGGCGTTGTGAGCGAATCCTTCTACCATAACCTTTCCTTCGGTCACCAAAAGTATGAAACGACATGACGAAGCATATTCCCCAAGATTACGATAGCATGGCAGCTTGGCACTGTTTGTACATCATTACGGCATGTTTCCCTTTCTCTATGATGATGGCGTCTGGGGCAGATGCGTCGAATTAGGCGCTGCCTGGTACACAACTGTGAAAGTTGGGATCTGAAGGCTTAGATAGACCGCACAAAAAGCGGAAAAATAGTATTGATGGTATTGAACGAATCACGCAAATGAAGATGATAAAATGTCATGACTACGTAGGTACAGAAAAGTAAACCTTAGCGAACAGTCTCAAACAAAGCTTGCCTCGGCTGAATACACGGCTATTAGACGGAAATAACGCTCAGCACGTTTCGTGACGTGCTTGTCGCCGCACTCCGTTGTTTGTACTTCCCAAGGTTCGGCTAAAGCATCAGACTTTATTAATAACAGAAACCCCTAACGGAAGTCCGAACCCGCAAAGGTCATGGTCGCGCGGCAAGCACGTTTCGCTTGGTGTTGCTCGGTCTTAACTTCGAGCGAGCTGCTTATGGTGGAGAAGCTCAAGGAAGGAAAAGGGCCTGTGGTGCAGTCCGTGTTTGTATTCAGAATCGTCTAGCCGGACGCCTCAAGTCATACTACCCTAAGCTTGATATATGATCTACCGGGCCCACTTGTTTCCTTCGATCACTTTCCGATCTCCTTTCCGTACGCGGTGCCGTCAGCTCTATAACATTCACGACGTTCTTTTCTTGTGCGTTTCTTGGCCGCAGTAAACCGGCTGAGCCGTTGTGATAACCATATTTCCGGGAATAAACTAATTCGACGCTTACTACCGACCCAACCAATCCGCCGTCGTGACACCGAGAAGGGTCAACAGCGCTGTCGATCACGAAAGCTGCCGCTACGGAAATGGGGATAGAACACGCCAACGACCCATCGCTCGAGCGACATACGCAAGCAGCAGCGATATCAGATGCATCAACGACTTTTGATGAGAAACCCAGTCACCAGGCGTCTCTGGATTCACTGCACAGCGCGAGCACCTCTGTGGCGAATCGGGACCAAGAGAAAGGTCAGCACGTGACTGAAGCTACGGATGAAGAACGCGCTGCAGGTTTAGGGACGACGCTGGAGCCTGTAAGTGACGGTCCTGTCTGGACTATATGAGACATATTCTGATTTCGTCCACCGACTTTTAGGTCCGATCAGCGCATCCTAGCGTGAAGGATGTCTCCAAGATCCCAAATGGAGGCTTATGGGCGTGGTTACAGGTACTGGGTGGATTTTTTCTGTTATTCAATTCTTGGGGCATCATCAACACATTCGGATCGTATCAAGCCTACTATGAGACCAACCTACTTGCCGACTCGAGCCCTTCGTCTATATCATGGATCGGTTCCATCCAGGCTTTCCTCCTTCTCTTAGTCGGCGCACTCACTGGCCCAATCTATGATGCAGGATATTTTCGCGAACTACTCATCGTGGGAAGTGTCATGTTGGTTCTGGGCCAAATGATGCTCAGCCTTTGTCATACGTACTGGCAAGTACTCCTCGCGCAGGCCTTCTGTATAGGTATTGGGACAGGCTGTTTGTTCATCCCCAGTGTGGCTATCCTCTCCACGTACTTCTCCACCAGGATCGGAACAGCTATTGGACTCGCCGCATCTGGATCGTCGTTTGGAGGTGTCATTTATCCCATCGTATTCCATAAGCTTCTCCCCCAGATTGGATTTGCATGGACGACGAGGGTTTTGGGCTTCATTATCCTCGCCACCATGATCATACCAAATGTATGCATGCGCGTCCGCGTCCTACCAGCAAAATCACGCTCGCTTCTCGATCTTCGCGCCTTCTTGATCCCAGCGTATAGTCTTCAAGTTGCTGGATTCTTTCTCGGGTTCATGGGACTGTATATGCCATTCTTCTACGCACAAGTCTACGCCATCCAGGAACATATTACCAACGAGAGTCTGGCCTTTTACCTTCTCGCTGTCATGAACAGCACGAGTGTGTTTGGTCGTATAGTACCCAACTTGGTATGCTTCTCGTCCCCCTATCGTCTCACTATTCATTACATTTGATAGTTACAGTTCGCTGACTTTTGTATACAATAGTTCTCTGACAAAGTTGGTCCATTCAACGTCGTAATTCCTTGTACTATCATATCGGGCCTCCTCTGTATATGCTTCATATCCGTCTCATCCACTGCCGGCATAATTGTCCTCATGGCATGTTACGGTTTCTTCTCCGGATCTTTCGTTTCGCTACCACCCACCATTATTGTTCACTTGAGCACCGACGCACGAGACAAGATTGGCACGAGACTAGGGCAGAGTTTTGGAGTCGTGGCTGTGGGTCTGCTTGTTGGAACGCCGATTGGAGGCGCAATCCAAGGCCATAGCGGTTTCGATAGTCTCTGGGTGTTTGGAGGGTGCTTACTGTTTGGAAGCGCTGTGCTGCTTGTCACTGCGCGGGTAGCGTTCAAAGGGTGGAAGCTTTTGGTCAAGGCGTGAGACATACGAATGGTGAAGAATATATCATCAAAAAAATTACACAATCTATACGTTAAAAGAGATATATCCGATCGCAGATATTCGGCGTAAAAAGGAAATCTATGAATAATCACATCATTGTGCTTCGCACCACGCTTTCAAGTCATTGTTGTAACCTTCCCATCCCCTCCTTGTCTTTTCTGGGAAGCCGAATTGTCGGGCTACCACGTTTTCGCCCATCAAAAAGGCTAGTGCGCCACTGAAGACTTCTTCTTGTGTGAACTTTGTACCACCTGGAATGGTGCTGCTGGGCTCGAAAACGAAAGAATGCGTGCCTGTAAACAGGAGCGGTATTGAGCCGGTCCATGCAAAGGAGGTGGGTGTATTGTGCTGTAAGTGCATTAGATGATGCTCAGCTAGAGTCTGGTGGGCACGTACTTCGATTGGTGCGTCCATCTTTTGACCAGATGAAAAGACGACGCGTATCTTGTTCCCTGATTCGACCGGGCCGAGTGGGCTTAGGGACGTGAAGAAGCCTTTGTGATACCTGGAAAGGGATGCAAAGTCGAGGAACTTTGCGCGGACAGTTTCTGGTGGTGATGCAATGTCGATGCTTGCTGTGACCGTCATGGCTATGAAGTGGCAGCTGAGATGCAGTGGATATTGAGCAGGCCTGACGAGCACGATTTGGTGTTATGAAGGCGAAGTTGAGATTGGATGTGATGGGAGGAGGCGATACACTGGGCGATACTTATATGTTGAGAAGCGTGTCTACCCTCTCGTGCGTACATGTCTACAGTCAAAGTCGCCTGGTGAAAGAGCTCGCTATACCTTTTGCGGCTCAATACGCGGGCATGCACCTGCAGCCTTCTCGCACAACTATGCTGGCATTGCAGGTGTGCTCAAGAAACCCAGTATCAGAGTCGCGATGGGAGAGATTAGGACCGGGCGTTACGTGCAGACGTGAGGGGCCTGTCACCTCGCCCAATGAGCCGCAAGTGGTTTAGCTCGACCCTGTATTAGGCTGACATGTCGTGCTAGCTGCAGTCAGCCCATCTACTCCCCACCTTCCTCTTCAGCCATCTCGTTCAATGTACCACATTCGTCCCAGCTGTATGTGTCTCGCAGGAATCAGGTTCAGGCCATGGTCAATGTAGCCGGTCGTTCGAAAGGATGCTCAACCTGCCGCAGACGCCGTGTCAAGTGCGGTAAGCGACAGTCACCTGCATGTTGGATGTAAGGCTGACAACTTTGAAGACGAGACTCATCCTATCTGTCGAAGATGTGAAAAGGCAGGATTCCAATGCGACGGACCGCAAACCACGGTTTTCATACAAGGCAAGATTGTCAAATCTAGAAGATCCCAGAAGCCAAAGGGTAGTGTGGCCAGCTCGGATGCAACAACGATTTGGAGAAGGCGAGATGTGGAAGAGTCGGCATCTCTATCCCCTGACAACCAGATTTCCATTCCTCGAGTGAGGTTCAGATTCAACGAAAATGAGGTCTACATTTGCTATCTGCGCCGCCATCTTCTTCCCAATGGCCCGATCGATTTAGGGCTTCAGGAGCTCCAAGCCTCAGATATTGATACCAAGGATTCATCGATAGCGAAAGAGGGTGCCCCGTTGTTCATTCAGGCTGCGCTCAGCTTCGCAACCCTATTCTTTGGTTCGCGCTACCAGCAGAATGGAATTCTCACCCAGGGTTACACCATACATGGTGTAGCTCTCAAGCGACTGAACGAAGCTCTGGGTGAGCCTGAGCGTCGTATGTGCGACGATGTTATCGTTTCCGTCATCATTTTGGCGATGCTTGAACTTTTCATGCCTACCGGCCCGAAGAACTGGCTCAAACACATGCTTGGCCTCGAACAGCTTCTGGCATTACGTGACCCAGGATCTCTGGTGTACGCGTCATTTAGAACGTTGGAACTATACAAAGGCGTGCGACACATGATATTGATTGCATCGCTGAGGAACAGATCACCTTCCATCTTTGCGCGACCAGAGTGGAAATCCGTATTGAGGACAGCGCTTTCGTTGGAAACTCCGGAAGAACAAGACTTACATGACGTGCTCGCAGATTGCTCGGTGTTAATGGCTGTCAGCGACGAGACCTTCAAAGCTCAGCATGTATCTGGCTCAGAATTCCCGCGACGACGACAAAAGATCCAGTGCAGAGCCGAGGAGTTACTAATATTCCTCGAGGCTTGGAAAGTTCGGTGGGATGATAATGAGGAGAACATCTATATTGAAGAGCGTGTCGAGGCCATTACAGCTGGGACACCGCCACGAACTATCTACAGGTTCATCAACGACTCAGCCGCGCGGATGTTGATGCTGTATAATACGGCTCTGCTCTACGTACTTAGGATTATGGCGACTTTAGAAACTACACAGCACAGTCCTCACCATGATCCAGACAACCTCTTACAAGGACACGCAGATACAAGCGTTCTGAAGGAGAGCTCTTATTATCCCTCTATCCAGGCTGCAGGACTGGATATTGCCCGTTGCATTTCGGATTACCTACAGCATAAACGTGCACGTGGGGAAATGGACTTTGCTTCCCCTGTCGTTCAGTGGGCTGTGATCATTGCTGGAACGGCACTGGGGTCTGAGGACTTGGACTGGATGGTGGGACTATTGAAGGGAGATGTCACGCTTGACGTCGCGAAGAGGGCATGGGAGATGTGAACGTGCCCACAGATCTCTCCTCGTTGGTAAGCTAGGAGATTAAGAGCTGAGTAGCTGCGCCGCAACTGGTTGTGTAAGCCCTGACCAAAAGCAGTTTTCCTATATTTGGAAGACCACTTTTCGGTTGCAAGATTTGAATGGCTCAACAATACGCTATCGATTGTTCGTTATGCGTATATCCAGGAATCCTACTGGCAGCCTTACAGTTGCGCACCCGGAAACACTGCTGCTTCGGAAACCATCCTCCTATCTCCCGACGATCTTCTTCTCAAGATATCGCGCAGGTATATACACAAGCGCGGTTACAACGAATGTAAATTCATTCGCGACATCACCACCATCAGATCCAATAAGACCTCCCAGCGGTCCAACATACCAAGTTTCTACCATGCCCATAATCCACGCCACGATACCGATGACAAACGATGTGCCAGCAGCGATACCGAGCGGAAGACGACTGGGATCGTTCCACGCGTCCAGGTCGTAGTTGTCAAAGTTCATACGACGGAAGATGACGTGTTCGCTGCATAGAATGACAAAGTACTGCGTAGTCCAGTAGCCGAGGAGACTAAGGAAGTTCTCAAGGTAGACGCTGAGTTGCTCGCGGCCGCCGATAGCGAGACCAAGGATGGCAGCGAAGCAAACCAGGATCCAGATGAAACGGGGTACGCGTGCGAAAGGGCGGGCAAATTGCTGGCAAGAGATGGCGGCACTGTAGATGGAAATGACGTTTACGTTGATACCGGAGAGGACCAGGAGGGTGAGAATCAGTTTGGCGAAACCGCGAGGGTAGAGCATGGTTTGGATAAGGAAACCCAGACCCTCGTTGTCGTACGTTTCTTGCCACTCTGGTCGGTTGTGCATGCCGGAAGACACCACACAGCCTGCTAGCATGCCAATAGAAGTAGGAATCGCGATGCCGAAGGTTGTCATGAGGAAGACCTTCCAGCGCGAGACGTTGACAGGGTAATGGACGTAGTAGTCGGAGGCCATGGTCTGCCACGATGCTGAACTTCCGTAGACAATAGCAATCAAGCTCAGAACCTGTCCACTGAGGTCTGCTCCCTTCAGATCGGTTTTGGTGCTGTTGTCCGCGTACTTGCCCGTCTCCGCGAAGAAGATGATGAAGATGATAAAGAAGATGAACCACGCATAGCGTTCGTATACCAGGATTGCTCGCAGACCAACGAACGAGATTATCGTGGCAACGACAGCCAGGATGACTATACCGACGATCAGGGAGATATGGCCATCCGCTACAGCCGTTAGTGCTAAACCACCCGTGATGCAAGCCACAGACGCCCAGCCAATCTGCACGATAGTGTTAAGAGCAGCAATGAGCTTGTTAGGCCACCATCCAAATGCATATCTTGACACTGAAATCTGCCTCAGTCCCGTCGGCGCACCAAAAGTGGCTGCGAATCCGGTGGCAGCGCCACCAAGGATAGACGCAAAGATGGTGATGACAATACTCTGGCGAAGCGCTATAGGCACACAAATTGAATCAGTCGAGCAGTTCGCAAGAGCGAGGGAGGAGCAAAATCCTTACTCAACCCGAATTGAGGTCCCAGAAGGCCGGTGGCAAAACAAGACGTGTTCATGGTTCCGGATGCCCATAGGAAGAACATGTTGAGTTGGTGATGCCATGGTACGTGTCCCTTTTCCTCTGGCAGCTTGCGACTGATGGCTTCTGATTCAATTCCCAGCTTCGCGTCTAATCTGGCTTCGAAGCGGCGTAGCTTGGCCAGGAGCCCTGTTTCGCGGGTGACGGTCGCATCGCCGATTCTCCCGCTGTCAGTTGAGACGCTGGTTTCGTCCTGGGCCTTTTCCGCTGAAAACATCATGGAATGTACCGTAGTAACGAATACTCAGAAGAATGGTGGTACAAAAGTAGTAATCATGAAAGAGTGTGAACCGTCCAGGGTCCGCACCGAGCGAAACATTCTTGCTCTTTAGTACACACTACCCCACCCATCGCGCACAATCGGCTCCGGCCGCGTCATGAAAAGCCGTTTGACGCCGGTGGCAGGGCACGAGAAAAAAGAGTTGCCGTATGCCGCCTAGCTTGTGTGGCTTGCAAGAGCTAGTAGCTCCACTCTTATCTTTGACAAGCAATTCTGGGCAAAGCTTAGCTTTCCGGCAATCATCGACTATTCCCTCGGTAGAAATCCTGCGCGTGTGCCCTGCATGTGGTGGACAGCTTATCAGGACTCGGCCCCCGCAATTGTCCTAGCTGTTACATGGGCTGGCTAGCTTGGTGATATGATGCCGTTCTCATGTCATGGGTGTAGAGTAGATGAGTGTGTTGCAGCTTCCATGCAGGTACGCAGCACTTGGTATGAGGTGCAGAAATCTTGAAATGAGCTTACGCGATGGCTTTATCTGTCATGCAGCAGATTGCAGTTCACCATATTTGCTTATTTTCTGTTTTGCGAACCAAGGTAGAACGCGTGCTGATGAGCGCTCCAGCAGGAGCACGATTCCATGCATTCCAGATCCTGCCCATAGAGTACATACTATACAGTGTATTTGAGTCGCTCGACACAAAGCATGCCATGACCCTTACATCGAGTGCATGAGTATTCATAATCCAACCTAGACAGCTGAATTTTGTGCTGATTTCAACTATTGCGTCCTAGTTTCCAGAAATTTGGCAGCCTTACTGCTTAAGGGATTGACGAATTCACGCTGTGTTCGCACATGCCTTACACTGCGTGCTTTCTTCGCTCTTATCTCTTGAATCCTGGAAGGCACCCCACTACCCAGACCGCGCTCCCGCAGAGCATAGTTTACCACCTTGTCTAGACCGGTCTTGCTGCGCTTCTCGGTCTTGTTAGCCTTGACGCGGCGTAGCTCGACATTGCCCAGATTGATCAAGTCGCCCAGATCGGCCCGTCGCTTGGTAGCGGCTTCCGATGCGGCTTGCTGTTTCGCTCGTTCACGTGCCTTCTGACCTTCTACGTGGATAGCAGAGTAAAGACTGGTCGGTTGAGGTTTGGCGGCCTCCAAGAGGTAGCTGTATAGATCGCCTAAGGTTTTTGCTGAAGATAGGTGCGGGTCTGAGATGCGGAAGCCGGTCAATTGGTAAAGCCGTTTGAAGAGCTACGAATGTCAGCAGATATCAGGTAAATTTCGTGAGTAGGCTTACAGCGAACTTGACGTCAATGTCAGTGACAGGGATATGTCGCCACTTGGTGTCTTCGGGTTTGGTGGCAGAAGACTGTCCCCTGCTTTGCTGAACCGACTTCTTCAGAGCTGCAAAGTCGGCGGCCAAGCGCTGCGCTCTTTCCTCGAGGATAGCATGTCGCGACTCGCTCGCTGCTGCCGGAGCGACTTCGTTGACGGGCTTAGAATCGGCCGCATGGACAGGAGGGGTGTTGAGGGTTTCTTGAACCACCACTTCCTCAACGACTGGCTGACTGACTTGCTCCTCCACTGGCTTTGCGCGGGGTACTGGCCGGTTCGACATGAAATCAAACGGCTTCTCAGCATCCTGCTTGACTACTGCCGCCTTCTTGTGTGCTGGTGTTTCGGGATCCATGGTCGGTACTTGTCCTTGTGGGAGACTAGTACCGTCGAGCTCCTCAATGACCTCCTCAACAAGGAGTTCATCTGGTTCCGCTTGTTCAGCCTCCCAAGATGGTGCTCTTTGCATCGTTGCCAGAAGATCATCCAGGTTCTTGTGCTCCGGCAAGGCAAGAGCAAGCTCGCCACTTTCCGTCTTGACCAACTTGACATCCTTGACCCAGCGTGGCCGGTCGTACACACCTCGGTTGGCGAATTTGGACAAGTCCATATCGAGACCGGCTTGCTTCAGAGCATAGATCTCGGCGACAGCTTGTGTAAAGCGAGCGCGGATGTCGGTAACGCGGGAAGCTTTGGAATGGAGGCCAAAGTTGTACTGGGTATACGGCCGGTTCGTCTTCTCGTGCATCGTTTGCGCCATCATCAAGTTCTCATCCTTGAGAGTGTATGGGGTACCGGTGAGCTCTTCGATTTCATCGGCCATGCCCAGTGTCAGCGGCGTATAAGTGCGTAGTGTCAGTTTCTCGAATTCCTTGGCTATGTCTTTTTCGACTTTTTGCCTGAGCCACTCGTCGCCGCCGACACGCTGGAGGCCGGCTATACTCTTCGCTTGTCGGTATTTGGGGAAGTTGGGGTCTTCCTCAAGCACCTCTTCATATTCGCCCTGGTCTTCGGGTGCTATTCGGACGGGTGATGTTGGGTCGTATGGGTCAACGTGTGCGCCAATGGGCTCCGAGTCGCCGAGCAGACGCTTCTGCCATCTCCGTACGAACTGCTGGTGCTTCTTCTTGTCTTGCTTGCCCGGTAGGAGGAACGACTGAGGTGCGGTTGTGGAGAAAGTGGCGGTTGCATTGCGGAGATGGGTGCAGGGCGACACGGCGGAGCGACAAGGCAATGGCGACAGTGTCTGCCTTATCGATGTGGATAGGAGATTTGAGGGATCAGTTGCCCGCGAGGGGCGCGGTATTCGGCGCATTGGGTTCGAGATGCGGGTGATGCCCGTGGACCGGAAATTCCTTCGACATATTGACCAGCACGCCAAGCCGCCGGACATGAGCCAATCACAGCCACAGCAGCCCCGAGCAGTGCAGCAGCTTCAGCTGAAATCGTCACACGACTGGAATTGATATAGTACATCCACAAACGATGTCGCGGTTGCTGCTAATTTTGAATTGCCTATCATGAGAACTTCTTTACCAGCCAAGTAGAGCCCCTCTCGTCGTACTCGGCCTTGGTGACCAGCAACTCCTTCAGCAACTCGGGTTGGCTAGCAACATTTGCTCCTCCTAGCCATGTATGTTTGATTGGGTCATCTGCCTGTACTACGTTCAGCGGATATTCTGCAGGCATCAGAGCCCTCAACTCCGTTCGCAGTCGTTCCATAAAGCCAGAAATCAGCGAGTTCCCGCCTACCACCACAACATTCGCTAGCAGACCTATCCTGAGAGCTTCGGGTAATGCACTCAGCGACTGCATGACGGCGCCAGGTATGCCTTCTTCCTGGATGCCAATATCAGAGGGATTGAAGAGCAGCTCTGGCACAGCGAAACGCTCGTTCCCTAATGGCAGTAAATCTTCCCTTGGTCCTTGTGGCGCTTGTAGCCCTCGACGCATGCGTGATTTTGCAGGATCGTGGGGTCGCGCGTGGCCATGTATCGCATTCTCGTAGTCTGGTAGCACGTAGTCGACTACAATGCTCGAATCTAGCTCTCTTCTGTCTCCTAGCCGTCCCTTCCATGTTCGCTCTAGATCGTTGGCAAAGTGCTGCGATGAAGGCACGACGTATGACACTGCCTCCTTGATCTCGTTGAGCAGGTATGTCTCCTCCATCATGTTGTAGTGTCGCAGCGAAGAAAGCTCCTTTAGGTAGTTTGTGAGCAGCTTCCCACCTACTGTGAGCCGCCGCACCGCCGATTGTATGAGTTTCCCATTGTAGAGAGGTAGGATGGTCGTGTCTGAGTAGGAGGTATCGATAATCAGGAGGCATTCTCGCGGTAGCGACAACAACGAGGACTCAGTGTGCGCCTGGGGGGTAGCATAGGCGTTCAGTGTCGCGCCCACGCATCGGTAGTACGCAGCAAATTCAAATTGCTCGAATATGATCTCGTCGCAGTTCTTCTGTAGTTCTTTTGGACAATTTGGCTTCTCCGTCAGAAGTAGGTTTGTATCTCTTGGGTCACACTATGCACCGTTAGCCAACGCGTCCGCCATAAGCTCGCGATTGTGCGTACCCACCCTCAGCCCCTCCCCCATGGCGTCTCCCATGAACTCGTGCTCCCATATCGCCTTCTCTGCCTCCCAGTTGACGATGAAGCCCTTCTCCACCGGACGGCGAAATGCCAACTCTCCGAAGTCTTTGCACGAGTTGAGTTCGGCGCCGACGTAGGTGCACTTGTCGCGCGTGCTCCGCGCGATGCAGTTCGGAATCACGCGGCATTCGTCGTAGGTATATTCGACACCGCTGGGAACGAGACCGGCTTTGATCGAGTATGCGCCATTATCGAGAACGAGCGTCTTGTTCGGTGGCGCAGGCGCTGACTTCTTGGAGCCTTTGGGTGGCATCGCTGGCGTTGGTGGTTGGGGCGGCGCTGACGGAGCGATTCGCGACTCCCGTTTTGCGGCAGACGCCTGTTCACGTGAGCACTCCAGAGCACTTGCTAAGGTGAGCGATACCATGTAAACACCATCCTCTCATTCTCTGGCCTAATGTGGCAGTATCAGCTCCCGACTAACTTAAAATATGAGCTATAGCTACATGATCACGGTAAATAATTTCGACCCGTCCCATAAGAGATGGTGTTGTCTTCCAACATGGCATATTAGCTGGATTCCCATTGCACGAAAAGATGGAATCTACCAGAGACACAAGAACAGTTCGCAAGTCTGTCGCAGAAGGCCACAGCCGATTGGCCTGATCATGAGCGTATGGCTTGCATCGTGGAAGAAACACTAATATAAACAGGCTGGAGGTGTGCCGCATGCCTACCCCGCGATGCACCTTCATTTCACTAGTCCTCGTGTCTGTAGCTCATCCACCCACTCTGATGGAACGAAAGAACCAGGCTGACTGCATGCTTTGTCTAGTCGCCCACATTGTTCTTCTGCTAGTCTATGACGTCAACTCACTTTCGCAACGAGGCACGCGAGTTTAAGAAAACCGTCAGAAGGAAGTGTAGATTCCTTACGTACCCCAATCATTCACCATGGACGACTGGCAGGATGCCGCCTTCTCGTCGCGACATATGCACAATCGCAATGGTCGCGGCAGCAAGTCTAAACACACGGCCGCGTTCGATGTGCGCAAAACATTTGCAAGCTATTCAGTAAAATGTCCAGCATGGCAGAAAGCTTTGAGTGCCAACGGAGATGCTCCGCCGGAACAGGACGCATCGCTGGAGTTATATCGTCTCACCGAAGGTGGCGAGGGTGTGGTTGGTCGACTGTCTTTGCCAGGAGTATTACAAGCGTCGGTCATCTTAGCCGGCAGTCGTGACAGTCTTAGGCGAACGATTGCAGAGGTGGAACCAGATGAATCGAACGAAGAGGAAGACGACGGGCACGATGACGAGGGAGAAGAGGAGAGCGATAACACCGAGCCTGAATCTCCCGAAAGAACACGCTTCGAGACATTCGAGAAGAACAGCTTTCGCTCTCCAAAGTTCTGGTTTCGATGGAGCGGCGAATCTACGGATGCTGCTCAAAGTGTACCCAGAAAGGCGGGCAGCCACGAAACAGAACTAGGATACATCGTCTTCGCTGGCAATGACTGTCGCAAGTTCAAAGGCACAATTAACTGTACGAATCTGAAGTGGAAGAATGTAGCCATCACGGGTCACAAGCTTGTAGCACGATCAACTTCTGATGCACAAATTACTTGGGGAAAGGCGGGAGTTCCAATATAGGTTCTGCTATTCCAATACAGCTGTCTGTCGTGTTCTCAACTAGACAACAGCGAATCCATCATGAAGCCCGTCGCAAACGCGTGAGCGAGGATATTGTGATAGCACTACTACCTCCCAATATGGACCCCAATCTCAACAAGCGTTCAATGGTGCTGTCTCATGTCAGTGAACTGCCTCCACTCAAGGTCGAATACGGAATTAGCATACCATCCCAAGTCACGTACGTGCCCCCAGCCAATGCAACCCATCTTCCATTACCAACGCCACCAGAGACCTTGGCCCAGCCTCTTCATTCACATTAGCTTGATCCGTTACCGTACCTTTCGGGTTGATGCTGTTACTTACTTGTCGCCATTCACCGTAGTCGTATCCGTCCTGGTAAAGCAGCTCAACTTGATCTTGGTACCTTTAGCATACTGGCCCGGAGCTGTGCAGCTCGTCTTTGGACACGTTCGGTAACGTAGACCGTCTACGAGGACGGTTGCGCCGACGATGGCACGCTTCTCTATTCCGGCGAGAGGGTCGCGATAGACTGTAGGGTCTAGGGCGAAAGCAGTGGACGTGAGAAAAGCGAGGGCCGGGGCTGTGATCTTCATGATGTGCTTGTTTGACTGCAATGAGGTCTTGTAATGGCGACTGGTTCAGATAGTCGACTGGTAAGGGCTTCTTATATCTCAGACATGCGATCATGAATTCCTTGGCTGTATCAATTTATTCTCGCATTCTTCGTGTTTTTTAACCGCACAACGTGGAGATGGTGGTACCGTCGGCATCTCTTACTCACTCTCCATCTCAATCATTCTTAGCAAACATTTGCACATCAGATCTACCCAATAGGAATGTCTTTGTATGTCAAGCTATATAATTTATGCTCGCATTTCTCGCATTCAGTTTTCTAAATATGCCAATGCGCGCTGTGTCCGGTTGCACAAACGTTCAGGTTTAATTTCGCTGCTCGTATCGCTTCAGCTTGGCTTGGAACGTAATATCCGAGAACAACGACATGCCTAGGCGGGCTTAGTCCTGTGAACATGATCATACTGGGGAAACACGTTCAAATGTATGGCAAATGCTCGTCAGGATAACATCCTATGAGCAATGTCATACCCTAGGTGCCAACCTTACTGTCCTCATTTCCATCTCGACAGGATCTCGTATTACGAAGGATTCATAGACCAAATCTTTCGAAACTCAATGGAGCAAGCTCAGTATAGTACTAACTAGTAGCTTCCTGGAGCCTAACAAGTAGACATCATAGCGCCCTTTTCTAAGTTCCGCAGCGGAAGGGCGCCAGAATGTCTCGTTTGAGCGGAATTTGCTAAAGGAGATGAGGTCTATGTGATTCTTCCTTATCCAGTTTATGAATTGATCTTGTTAAGAAGGCTGCGCGTGTCATTTATAGCCCTCACTCACTCCACTTCATCATGGTCCTACAGAAGGTTGCTTGAAACACGCCTGTGTGCTATGCAGACAACCTGATCAATTAGAAAAACGACGCTATGACTCCACAGAACCGACCACAGATGTTAAATACAGCGGTAAGATGTCGATGTGGTAGCTTGCCCATAAGGGCGTTGTGACCCACATTCCTATTCGTTTATCGCCGCTGCCTAGTCACGTGTGTGTCTCAGCCTGGACTTGCACATCCTCTAGGTACTATAACCTCTCCCTTCTCTTTGTAAATCTTCTCCATCATTATCTCGGTTGAACAACAACTCTGCGATCTCAACCTCATACTATTCTTTCACGATCATGGCACTTAACCAAGCTAATATGGTTCAGTCAAACTCCCTGCGTCGTCGGCTCCTTCAAGACATCGCAGAGACCAAGCAAGATCCATATCCTAATGTCAACCTCAAGTTCAATGACAACGACATCACGAAGGCGTGCCTCGTCTTCACTCCGGATAGACAGGAGCCGCTCCACCTCACGATCAGCTTTCCAGACCGATATCCACTGATTGCGCCAGAAATCAAGATTCAAAGTCAAATCATTCATCCCAATGTCTTCGGTGACTACATTTGTGCTACTATGCTTAATACTAAAGAAGGTTGGACACCAGCGTATACCTTGAAGGGTATCGTCATTCAACTATTAAGCTTCTTCTGCAGCGACTCCCTCGAGCAGGACCATGGTAACAATACCATCAACTTGACTCAGTACCGGCAGCAAGTTACTCAGGCACATGGAGGACTTACGAACCAGTTCGTATGCTATTCTTGTGGATTCGGAACCAGCTCATCCTCGACACGGACTGATGAAATGGAGGTCGACTCAGTGCCAGTGCCCACTCTTGTATCTCTTCCACTACGACATCCAAATCCGCTCTCAAGGTTGTTCATGCTACCAGATGAGATCGTTCTCGCAGTACTCACTGAGCTCGAGACTCGTGACATTCTGGCCTTTGCCGAGGCTGTTCCTTCCATCAAGACGATGATCAACTCGTACGACTTTATTCGGGTCCGCGAATTACAATGCTTTTGCCTTAAACGATCATTTCTGAACAGCAAGCTCGGCATAGGCATCTCCACCAAGAGCGGCAATCGGTCAGCCTTCAGATCCGAGTTCGATCTGTTGAGTTGGGAGGCATTCTCCGTATACGGTGTCCGACACAGTGTTCAGGGTGTTTCTTTCGACAACTGGCTACCTATGCCGCTCAGCCGACGTCATTGGAATCAAGTCAAGACGGAGGTGAAGGCATGCCTCCAGAACATTCACAGCACCGCGACCATGCCCAGCCATGAGCCTTGCCATGTGGACATATTGTATCGCATGATGAACACGGTTGTCGTTCAGTTCTCATCCGATGCGGAAAAAGGTTATGCTGGTCCTGATGAACGTAGCACCCTAAGTCACGCATCAGAAAAAGCCGTTGACGCCTATTTCGGTCTCTTTCATCTGTTGCTATGCCTTGCAACCGAGCATGAGGAGATTGTTGTCAGTGCTAACAAGATAATCCAGCGTTTTATGGTCGGCCCACGTACGAAGACGCAGTTCCCTGATCTTGGCCATGTACTGGTAGCAGCTCTCATCTGCGATGCGGGGTTGACCGAAGAACTGACGTACGAAGTTATCCGAGAAGCAATTTTACGCAACGTTGTATGGATGCTCGACGCGAAAGGTGCTGGTATGGCTGAGCTTGCATACATGGAGCCTTCAGCGATCTCCAGATACCGTACCAAGATGACGTACGCTGCCTCGCCCACCTCGTACCGCCTCATCATGTTCATGAAGCTGTTCAGCTCAGCAGCTCGCCCGCCCAACAAGAATCTTATCGAGCTCCGCGACTCCATGTTCGACGCGCATGGAGCTCCTCCACAAGGCACATCAATGCGCATGGCCAAGGATATCCGCGAGATCCACGAGTTCAACACCTTTCCGCAGTTCTTGACCAAGATGGGTCTCAAGGAACTCCCATCCCAGTCACAGTTCACAGCGTTCTTGCGTCGCACCATTACTGACAGTATCGACGCTGGCTACTCCATCATGCCGTTGACCCAGAGCCAGCTTTACCTCATGCGTCAGGCCAAGGAACCTGATGTGGACATCGCCGAAGGTGTGCTTGTCACATACAATGACCGACGGTGGTTTCGTAACCGTAGTTGGCGAAAGCCGTCATTCTTCCCAAACAGGAGCGGTCGCGGTAGCGACAGGGGTAGTCGCGGGTTGCGCGGTGGTAGAGGCCGTCGTTAGGGATGGTGTTAGGTTCTCTAATCGATTGCAGATCGCAATGGTCTTCGCGCGATTCTTAGCTTCACTTGCAAGATGAATACTACCTACCTTGAACAACAACTTAAATCGTCCCCAGCCTCCCACTTCTTCGTAACATTCCCTCATAATATTCCCTCGTGAGACCTTGCACAGATGTCCTGGAACGGCTAAACGGCCAGACTAATGCCCTGCAGCATCTAGATCCTAGCCTAGTAGTCAAGTGAGGGGGAAAGGCACAACAACGTCATGTCGCATGCCGTACCACCAGACAGGTACTGCAAAACCGCATTCCAAAGTCTGACCACCTTCTCCTTCTCCTCTACAAACCAAAGCCTTCTCAGCAAACTCGACCCTACTTCGCCTTCTCTTCGTATACCAAAATATGTCTGGTACGCCTTCTGTGTTCGATGTCGTATGTTCTCATAGCTAATCGTCTTATAGACCAACTCGATGACAAGTTCATGAACAGCGGTAGTGGCGCACCAGCTCCTCAGACATCCAACGACAAGGGCGATGCATCGAAGAAAGACGCAGACAAAAAGGACAGCGGTAAGGGTCAGGAGAAGAAGGGTTAATATGATTGGGAATGAGGTGGTTGGCAGATGCGGGGTTAGGACCGTCGATCAGGAACACCTACACAGAATCACCTCATCGGGTCAGCGGGTGTTCGAGAACACACTAGCGAAACTTCTTGAATGCAAATAAATCGAAGTTGTCAATCCTAAGCTTCTCCCTCATGTGCGGTGTGTGTAAATATGTTGATGCGAAGGAGGAGCCTTAGACCGAGTCGCGATCCGTCATATTGACGTTTACAAAATCCTAGGTTTCCATGACATCTACACAATGCCTTTCAAAAGAGTATTAGTATACTTAGAGGTGCCTTAGAAACCAAAGTTAACGCATCATCTTGGAAAGTTTATGCAATAGTTACAGCCCACTGCTAGCAAACATGCTCGGTACATGCTCTCACACTGACTCAGAATTGACGAAAACCTTAATCAAAACCCTTCCAACCACAGTTAAAACTGCGCTTCCAACCATTGGCCAAAGTCTCCCAATCGGCCGTATTAAGATCATCGCACCATAAATCCGACAGGGCTTTCAAAGGACTAAATTTTCCTTGTTTTGAGCAAGACTTTTCGCAAGCATTGATCTCGAATGGCCGGCTCTCGGTGTAGTCCTCCGTCGTCATGTGAGGCGAACATTCCCCGCAGCCTTTGATCTCCTTCTTGATTTTAAAGGTGATTCTAGAGTGATCGTGGTCGTGGGCTGCAAAAGGTTAGCACAAGAAAGACAAAGTTGTATAGTTTTGCTTACGCTGTGAGACGGTCATGTCGACTCCAAAAGGCATGGAGTCGCCGAAAGGACGATTCATCGACTGGATATATTCCTTCATCTCCTTGAGGCCATTTCCACGTGTAGTGTGCTTACCAGCCTCGAAGCCGTTGGGGTCGTACAGCGTCCATCCCACTTCCGAATAGTCGTCCCACATCCATTGACCGATATTCACCTTCCAATGACCGTTCCTATCCATGGGCATATGACTCGGTGCTGGCGCTGTTGAAGAGCTGCGGGGAGTCATACTAGAAGTGCCCTTGGAAGTCGAGCTTGCGAACATTGTGGTGTTGCTGGCAAATATGCTCGACGTTTCAAACAACGAATCGTCGGGATTGTTATTTCCCTCATCATCATCTAGAGAAAGCGGGGCTCGAGTACATGCTGGAGCATCGGAGGTGAGCGTGTTTGTGCCGGTCTTCGTCGTAGTAGTATCGAATCCAAAGGCTGGCCCACAGATGGTCTGAGTAGCATCGATTAACGGTACACATATTGATGTAATCATCGTAGACGATGTGCTACCAGTACCCCGAGAGGTAGAAGGCATAGCTGAAATATCAAACCCCTCTGTACAAAATACAAACCGCTCTGTGATAACAGTGCGCTGCTTGTCCTCGCAACGATCCGGATCTGGTGCATCCGCGGGCTTAGTTGGCGCAGGACCAGGCTTCGGTCCACAACCTCCGGGAATCGTGCATCCTGGACGACTACAGAGCTCCGGTGGGCAGGGTGAGCATCCTTCTCCTCGACAGTATCCGCCGTAGCCCAAGATGGCGTTGACGGGCTGCTTATCGCCCGGGCAACTACCAAAGAAGGTGCAGGGGGAACACCCAAAGAGACCACATGGGATATTTAGCTCGAAGTCTACACCAGGACATCCAGGCCCGTAGTTCAAACCCATCCACCCGCATCCGCAACCGAGAAGTTTGCACTCTGGTTTGTTGGGTTTGGGATATGACGTCGGCTTGGGTTTGGGTCCTTTGTCATCGTCCCTGTCGCTATCGCTTGGACTATCGCTATCACCATCCTTGTCACACTTCGTCGGGAAACAAGGACATACAGGCCGCTTGAATAGCAAGAAAGTCATGAGTCTCCACGAGATGCAATCAGCAATGCAGTTGTTTTCTTTGCAACCGGGGTCACTATCCGAGTGAGAGTCTGGATCGCCATCACTACCATCAATGTCCACCGGACCAAACCACCAAGGGTGGCACCAAGCACGATTCTCGGGCAGTAGGCATTCATTTGGCGGCTGTTCATCTATCGGGCGGGGAAACGGCCATCCCTCGCAGTAGATTTTGCACCAGTCAAACGAAGAGCACTCTTTGGGACAGCCCGTCGTGGTGGGCGAAGGGGGGATATTGCTCAAAGTTCCAGTAGGTTTGGAAAAGATTCCTCCCGAAGTGGTGCCGGTTGGGGTCCGACTAGAACTTGGTCCAATGCTTCCTGGAGTGCTACTAGATGGAGTTCCAATAGGAAACGGCCCAATACTTCCCGGAGAATTACTAGACTGCGTTCCAGTAGGAACTGACCCAGTGCCCCCTAGTCTACTGCTAGATGGTGTTACGATGGGGAATGGGCTAGTGCTGCCTGGAGTGCTACCACTTGGCTTTACAGCCGAACTTGGAGGATTGATGCTGCCGGGAGTGCTACTAGAACGCCTTCTACTTTCGCTCGGAAGATGGATGCCGCTAGGAGTGCTGCTACCAGAAATACTAGAAGGGATAATGGGGGTAGCTCCTGGAGTGCTGCTACTCTGGATCGAAGTTGGATTGTTGCTTGAGATTGCACCACTCGAGGTTTGTGCAGCCGAGCTACTTGGCGAGTTAGAAGTCACCGTGGAAAATGAGCCAGAAGGCTGAGCAGATGATTTGGGAACAGACACAGAGCTAGCAGGTGACACCGAAGACCCAGTAGCTGTAGTACTACCAGTAGGATTACTCCAGACGCTCGAAGGGGAGGCAGAGGCACCAGGAGAGCTCGATACCCTAGAGGACAAGATCGCGGATGATCCAGTAACTGAGCTTGCTGAGACGGCAGAAGATGGTACAGAGCTACTTGCAGCACTAGACCAAGCCGATGACCCTGCGAGTGGAGAGGTTGCAGGTGTAGAGGAACCGGAAGCAGAGCTCGCCGGAGGTGGTGCAGCGAAGGTCCCTGAAGATGGTGCAACATGGGTACCAGAAGATGGCTTAACAGGAGTTCCAGAAGGTGTTGGAATAACTATTCCAGAAGGTGGCGGAGTAGGGATCCCAGAGGATGCTGTAGCAGAGTTTGCTGGGCCTGGAGACGCAGTCTGAGATGGAACTATAACGCTTGAACCTCCTTGGGAAGACGTTTGATTGTTCCAAGTCGCTGATGAAGAGGGAGCAGGTACCCACTGGGAAGATGCAACTTGAGAGCTTGGCTGATTGCTCCAAACGACAGAGGAAGGTGGGGCCGGTGCGTGTACTGAGGATAGCCAAGGGGATGATGTAGCTGAAGACGGTGGAGCAGGCGCTGGCGCCGAAGGTTCCGCGTGAGACGAGGTCATCATACCAGATGACTGGCTGCTCAGAACCACAGAAGAAGGTTTCGCAGGATCTTGCACCGATGTTATGATGCTGTGAGATGGAACGACGACGCTCGAGACACCTGGTGGAACGACACTCGAGGCAACTGGCGGGTTGCTGTGGGCGATGGAAGTTTTGATATGGGTACCGCGCACAGATGATGTGATCAAAATCGGATCAGTTGGTATACCCTGAGGCTCCCTAGGAAGCAGAGGTTCTTCAGTCGTGGAAGTTACCTCGATGGACGGGAAGCTGCTGGCATAGCTACCGGTGGAGGCCAATGCCAGCAGAGCGACGAGTGACAACCGCATCCTCGGGAGCTGCAGCCGTCGTTCGCAATTGCTCTGGTGGTGGAAAGGGCGATGGAGATATACGAGTTGAGGAATGGGCGGAAACAGTAAGTGGGCGGTGTGGTGCAGAAGAGACTATGCAAGTGGATGGCGGGGTCATATGGAAGGGAGGTGCTAGGCAAGCGCACTAGTAAGTTGGTGAGGGTAAGGGTCCGTGAGAAAGGCGCGAGAAGGTGAGGCAACTCTTCGTAGGCAGAGGCGTGGCCAGTGCTTCAGGTGAAAGAGCGGGCGGCTGCATACCGCCAAACATACTCCCTATCAATCATCCTGCCATCCATTTTTCAGTTAGCCACTTATACTTTAGTGCTGAGACAAGGCCCTCGAAGCAACCAACGGTTTCTGCTGGCTTCGACAAATTACTGTTCCGTGCTCTTGGAAGGGTTGTTCTGCCTTGGTCTTCTGCTAGTCAGTTTGCTCGAGCCTGATGGTCATATGTATTGTAAGATGAATATTTATTGAAGTTGGAAGGCAGAATTAACAGAGGTTCAAAATACAACAGCGATTGAATGCAATCGTGACTTGGAGTGAATACTCTCGTAGTTTTCGATCAATTCAGACAGCCAATGGAGAAACGCTCTATTCATTGGATGTTTACAGCAAACGTAAGACCGGATGTTGTACGATGGTAGCAAAGACACGCGATGCAGCAGCAGATGGGAGTATTGTACATGGTGTTTTAGAAAGGTAAGGAACGCTTAGAGAGACACAAACACGGATAATTAGATCCGCAACAGCAGTTGAATCGATGGCATCGGTCGTATGGTGATGACGAGCAATGAACGAGGCTGATGGTGAGGTGAGCTACACGAGACTGATGGAAGTGCAAATCAATGCGACTGACTGACTATGTTGTAATCTCAGTAATTTTCTAGTGCTGTGCGTGGACCACGATGTTGAAAAATTGCTCATTCACTCATGAAGTCACTGCGACAGCATCGAAACGGACGCTAGCCTTGCACTTTTGTCCTATCCACCACTTTTCCTTGTATTGCATTTCCTCTTCTAGCGACTGACAACATGAAGCTCGCCTTGGTTCTCGCCATCGCCGCTGCCACACATTCAGTCACTGCAGGAACCATCAAGACTCCTTCGCCATCCACACGCGTCTTCAACAGCAATGTCGGTGGCACATCCCCAGCTTTGATCAATCGCAAACCGAACGAAGAACGCCCTACGGTCGCTTTCTGGGATGACGATCACGCTACAGAGGTGGATTGGAAGAAGAGCGCAGCCAAAGGGGGAGCCCTGATGTGCGCTCTCAAGGGCTCCGACCAGGTTGCAGGTCGTCAAATTAGAGACACTCGCGAACCCACGTCTGCCGCGAGTCGGTACAACAGCGATCTCAAGACTGAGCTTCATGACTGGTACTGGCGAGAAACTAACCCATCGACGTTCAGCTGTAGTTTTTCTGAGCACTGGCACCTTGCGCACGCGATGCGGTCACTCGGACTTGATGGAAAACCAGCGTCAGAAGGCGGAGACAATCAATGTTACAGGATCGAACATTGGAATCCAGAAAACAGGGATGACAAGGGCGACCAGATTCCGGCCATCAACCAGTGGTACAGCGTCCCAGGTCACGACAAGCAGTACCGCGTGAGTCTCCCTTCACATGATAATCGAATTCTCGCTAATATCCGAACAGGCAACGAAGGCACATTTCGAGTTTGGCATCAATACCAAAGGCGGCGCCATCTATGGTCTTTTCCTTGAGAGTGCTTTAGCCTCTGCTAAGAGCATTTGGGGTGGTGGTACAAAAGAGCCGAACCGAGACGATCTTCCCCAGCTCCGTGCCTTTTCAGACATTATGTGGGCGTTCTGGGTTCGCAACAACCCAAACGTCAGAAACATTCGCTACTTCTTCATGATAGGCATCTCCAACGAGTTGACCAACCAGATCATCGCTTCTTGTCTACGTGATGCTGGTGCCGAGCTGAGCGAGTGGCCTGGAACTAGCTTCTCTACTACTACTACAGACCAAGGTCATGCGCTTCTCGGTAGATTTCCTCTAACACCAACAAATGATTCCAAAGACTAAGACAGAAGAGGCTCCCCTAACGGTGCTACCTTTGCATATTTCCTCATGCAGCACAAAGCGCAGCTCGGCCAGAAGACTATCACCAAGATTACCATTTTCAGACCAGAAACTGATGACGACCTCAGCTTCGTCGACGCTTCTCTTTGCTTCCACGTGGCAGATGGTCCACAGCCGCCGCCTGACGATGCTGCTATGGCAGCTACCGATGAAGCGGGCGCTCGAAGTGTGCAGAGGACAAGTTTGAGAGATTCGAGAGATGTGAAAGGAATATCAGTAATCAGCATGATCAGAATACATGAAATCTACATATAGCCAATAATCAGCAAAGTTGGAAGTAGGACAATCGTGTGAGCGACCATGCCATCGAAGCGCGCTGTGCGGATGTCAAGACAGACAGCTAGAAACCGTTGTTGTTGATGCAAGCTTGGCCACATTTCTTCGCCTCATATTTGATTGGTCCGTGTAAGATGTAGGATAGTCCTGACTATCTCGAGATGGGCTCAACGTGGCGAGCAGGATGCGAGTAGGATGCGATAAGGTGAAGCCCGCAGCGGCGCAGCCCGCACGGCAATGGGTCCATGTGGGGTCTTACGAGGTTCCTTCCGGCGCATCTGGCTCGACGCGCACAAGTGCATCGATGTCTTCAACTTCCTAATCCGTACGTGCGCGCCTTCCGTCAAGCTGTCGAATCATCAATCACTTCGATATCTCTACAGCGCCTCGTTTTATTCTCACCCAGGCAATACGGGGAGCGTTCCTGGCACAGCATCGCCCAAAGACTACCGGTCGATCATTGCGGGTAAGGCCGCTTCCGCTGGAAGGCATTCACTGAGGCGTATCACGAAGGTGCTCGATCAGGTACTTTGCTAGCCTCGACGGGCGTGGGAGGCGATGGACGTTGCGCACCCTCTGGTCGGCCAAAGCGGGCATCTTGCTGCAATCCAGCCTCTATGATCTTCACTCGTGTATAGCGCGACCCTTGCCGATACGATGCACAGCTATTGCTATAGGCGGAACTTACTATCGACAAGGCACTAAAGGACGAGGTCGACTATGCCTTCGATCTTTGCCAAGAGGATGAAACGCCCGAATATGGCGCCATGAGGGGTCGGCCAATCAGAGCAGCCGTAGCAAAGCTCCTATCTACTAGACGTCTTTTCGATATTACAAGCGATAAAGGTCTTGGCTCTTGGCATCGGAACGTATGTTCAATTGGGAAGGTATGGTAAAGAGGTGTGTAGGGGTTCTCCATCTACGATTCGTCCGTGCGGGGTGATGGCCTAAGGCTGGCACATGATCCGAGCGACTTTCTAATTCCATACTACTTGAGTTCTACGATATCTCTACCTCCTTCCTTTTAGGCCACTGGCATGGTGTAGCGTAGGGGTACATGCAGTCTGCTCAGTTTCCCGCCAACAAGTGCTGTTTCGATACGAAGTCACACCCTGAGGTCGATGTCTTGTCAGGTGCCTTTTGAGGATTAACACGATGAGATAGGTGTCTTGTGAGGTGCCTTTCGGGGATCATCGTTCCGATGCTGCTGAAACACGTAGCAATACCTCGTGGCCGATGAGGAAGGAGATCTTTTGGTAGCCGCTGGTGCAATTTGGATCTCTTGTGAAATGCCTATTACGGACTACCTTTCTGATACCGCAGGATCGCGTAGCAACACCTTGCAGCGGATGAGGAAGGAGACTTTTCGTAGCGCCGGATCCAAGTTAGGGCTCTATCTTGGATGGTGATGGCCAGGGCATGATGCAACTCACAACGGTGAAGCTGGACCAAGTATAAGTATAGGTGTGTGTTCTCGTCCAAGTTGAATCACTCCATCAGTGCAGCAGACTCATCTTCTTAGGATCTCGCCTCTGCAACATCGACACCTCATCTCTTCAGTCTTGTTCTCAACACCATCGCCATGGAGCTCACCGGATTCCTCGCTGCCTTGGCAGTCTTTCTGCCTATCGTCTACGGCGCCCCTACCACGGCCGCCAACAGCCTTCACCCCGAGATCCTCGCTGCCATGAAGCGTGACTTGGGACTAGACGCTGAGCAGGCTCATGTTCGTGTTGCTCGCGAGCTCAAGGCCACCGAGGTCATCGAGCAGCTCCGTACCAAGGCTGGCAGCTCCTTCGGTGGTGCCTGGCTCGTCGATGGCGAGCTCAAGGTCGCTGTCACTGACGAGGCCTTGACATCCGATGTTACCACTGCTGGCGCCACTGCTTTGGTCGTTGACACTCCTCTCTCCAAGCTTCAGGACGCCCAGAAGGCACTTGACAACCTCGACATTGAGTCAGCCCTTGGCAAGCGCTCAGAGGCTGCTACCGGAATTGCGTCATACTATGTCGACATTGCCGCCAACAAGCTTATCCTCGAGGCTCTTGCCGACAGCACTGCTCAGGCCGAGGAGCTGGCCAAGCAGGTCGGTCTTACTGAGTCCGAGTTCGAGGTCAAGACCGTTGAGGCTCTGCCAACCACCTTTGTCACGGTCAACGGTGGCGATGCCTACTACATCAACCGAGCTGGACGATGCTCTGTCGGCTTCTCTGTCACTGGCGGTTTCGTTTCTGCTGGTCATTGCGGTTCTGTCGGCAACACCCCCACCACCTCCTCCGGTACCACTATCGGAACCTTCGCTGGGTCCGTCTTCCCAGGAAGCGGAGACTACTCTTACATCCGCGGTACCACTGGAAACACCTACGCTGGCAGGGTCAATAACTACAACGGCGGCACAATCGCCATATCAGGCAGCACCGCTGGCGCTACTGGATCCAGTGTCTGCCGCTCCGGCTCCACCACTGGTGTCTACTGCGGTACCGTTCGCGCTCTGGGAGCTACCGTCTCCTACGCTGAGGGCCGTGTTACTGGCCTCACCCAGACCAATGTCTGCGCCGAGCCTGGTGACTCCGGCGGTTCTTGTAAGCAACATCCTATACCAACTTGCCATGGTACACATACTGACTTGATTTGTAGGGTACTCTGGTTCTCAAGCCCAGGGTGTCACCTCTGGAGGCTCTGGCAACTGCCAATCCGGTGGCACAACCTACTTCCAGCCCGTCAACGAGATCCTGTCGGCTTACGGACTCACCTTGGCCCGTGGTTAGATTGTTCTCTGTTGCAGTCTTTGATATGGTTGTCGAGAAAGACATGGCTAGTAGGATTCGCAAGTTGTACATATCTGAATTTAGTTGCAGGCCACTTTGTCTCACACTTTGAAGCTTCTGTGATGTTGTAACACATGACTACAAGCATACTTGTCCTAGCAGAAATCAGTGTCTAGTAAGATTGCCTCGTGGAAGTGTTGCTGTCTCGAGAAGCCATTGTCTCTCAGGAGCGGTAAGTGAAGTAAGAGACGCGGTATCCGAAATCACGGGCGAGCATCTAGATGGTGACGTTAGATTTGGACGTGTTCGTGGGATTAGGCTGGCGATCCTCTACTCACCCACCGCCCGCTGATCGCATGCGAAGGTAAAGAACCTCTCTAGCGGCCATTGGTTGGTCATAGTGGCTTGGGTAGCGTCCCGTAGGTTTAGTATTCTGTCCTTGTTTACATCCCAACATGTGTATCGGAATAGTCTGATAGAGCTCAACCAATGCAGAAGATCAGATAAATTGATGATGGTCTATCTACGAGCAGAAGCTGTCTATCTTATAGATGGCAGAAACAAAGGGGCTTGCTTGTTGTATACAAGCAAGCTATGAACAGACAATCTAACAATACATGAGATGGAAGCTGCCCACACAAACCAACACGGTCGGCTTCGCGTTGTTATAGATAGAACTCGATCTTATCGATAAAAGTGCGTCATCGGCCCAGATAGGAAAAGTGTTCCGACCGCGTTCTATGAATTGTTCCCACCTGTCACTTGGAAGGATTAGGAGTACACCAATGTTACCACGACGAAAGACTGGGTATAATTCGTTTAATCAACTACTACGCGTGAGTTTTTACAGTCGTTTAGGCTTCTACCTACATCGAGCCTGCTAGTCGGCCGCGAGTGCTCGGAGCTCGAAGGATACCTAGTCAGGCACACAGTCTTTACACATATCGCGCTTTCCTGTATCCATGTGCTCATCTAAGCCGCTCTTAGTCTGCTGCGTTTCTTCAGTCTCGATGTTGCTGGAAATATGCGCTGCTTGTCAGCGTTGATGTTGCTAACAAGTCTTATTTCTCTTTACTTCTGCTGACACGCCTCAAGCATTGAGAAAGGCAATTTCACAGACCTTTCCAAGAGATGTTGGAGGGTGCACCATAGATGACGAGATTTTCGCCTTTGGAACTGTCGTAGATGTTTTACCAAAAGAGAAAACAAGCTTCTTCGCATCCGTGTCGATAGAGTAAATGCGGTAGTGATGATGGCACGTGCTTCGTAAGGCTCTTCTAAGGTAAAACAAGACAGAATAACAATCAGTAATCCATCTCGCAAGGCAGTTTCTCAAAGACCGTACATCCATGCGCTGAGGCCCGGAGTAGCAAGTCCAAACAGGACCCGAGTAAACCGCACATTTGCGCTATACCGAATACAGCCAACACAGCCACCCCCTTCGTACTGTTGATTGGTCAGAACCCGTACTCGGGAGAACACACGATTCGGCTGTCTCACGACTGTTGGGCCTTTCGGTTGCCGATCCGAAAATATGGGATCAATTGGATGGCAGTGCTACAAGGCGCTCTGTATGTACACGCGGCTCTAATGCGACTGCGGCTACATGTACTTTTGTTGTTGCCTGGGAGATGGTGCAACAGCTATATACTTCATGCTTGACTTATCAGGCTGATAGGCTCAACTTCCTTTCATTATACAGCATCGTTCATCTCTATCGAACTGCAACACTGTTCACCCCGACCTCCATCCAGAAATCCTGAAAGCCCACTCTATAAGAAAGATGGCTGCGGTTCCAGAACGCACTCTGCGTACCTTTACTCTCTTTACCAGCGCGCTTGCAACACCTCTTCTCATTGCTACGACGATCATATCCCTCGAGTCTAACTCCTGGTACAATCACCGCGATGTAACGGCATTCTGTTTTGGCTACATTCCTCTCGCTATGACCGCTGTTGCATCTGCTGTGAGCATAATCCAACAACGAAGGTGTGGTAGTGTACCAGGGCCCAAGTTCACACTTCTAGACGGACTGGCGGGTATTACGTATCTGGCGATACTCATTCCGATTTGGGCGGTCGAGACTGGTGAGTTAGGAGCGCCAGGTTATGGTCTATTGACTGGATATACAACGGCTCCTATGATCGTCAACATGTAAGTTGTGTTGAGGGCCAACAAGCGAGTCATAAGCTAACATGTTATTAGGTTTGTTCACTTCTACTTCTTCGCTCACAAGTCTCGATCAGTGTGGGCTTTGTTCGCTGCTCCACTGGTGCACGAATGCCCTAATTGCCACAACAACTTCACAGTGGGCGCCCAGCAGATCAAGGAGACAAGCAAGGGTGGAGAGCGCTACACTCTGTTGCGTGGAGAGGACTATCTTGATACTGATGCTGATGCGGAGCCATACATCGATGCAAGTGCCAGGCCTTCCGAGGAGCAGCTACGGCCTGAGTGCGATGTCAAGGACGAAGGCAAAGGGAAGTCCATAATCGATGTATGAGCTGGGGCTCAGTCGAGTGAGTGTGCGACATCTGCACTAGTCATGGGACACAACATCTGGGTGTGGAGGAGAAGGGAGGGAGGGTTTGACTTAGTGAGATTGGGTATGGTAAGAAATGATGCCCATGCACGGACATAGTGGTCTGTTAAAAATCTAGAGGGATGAGTTTGGCGTTCTGGCGCTTGATACATATGAGAAAAGCATAGGACTTTCCTTTGCTCAGTCTGTGATGGTACTCTGGCGCCCGCGGTTGACAAACGTTCATATTGTCATCTCCATTTCGTCTATGTACACATTCTCTTCAGTCTAGGCGCGCCCAGATGTCTCTTTATACATGAACTACCGGCTCTCTAAGCGTATAGCGTTGGGAACCTCTCTCCTTGATCCCACTAGAAGTTGCAGAGTTAGCAAGAATTCTGTTTCAGCACCAATGCAAAACTTACGTGCTCGACGATACATCCGCCCTCCCAACGAAACCGGTCAACAACTTCCCCAAAACTCCCTGTTCGGTAATTGAGCCAGCTTTGCGGGTACTCAAAAGCTGTACGTAACGGTGTGATATTTTGTGAAGCCCAAATTGGGGAAAGAATGCTCCAGGCGGAGTCAGATCCGTTCTGTGCGAGGGGGTTGTGGTTCTATTCGTGATTTAGTTAGTCGTCGATGATCCTGTTGTAGACGTCACAATTCTCTTACGATATAGTCTTGCGATATATATTTGAATGCCTCACTGATATCTTTCTTGTAGATAAAGGCTTGGGCAAAGGCGTCAGCGCGTTTCGCAGTTTGCTCTTCGGTCGTGTTCATCGCGCGCACGCATGGTGCTGGCTTTGTGGGACGCGCCTGGCGTGCTGCCAGTATGTCTGACCTGCTGTGTAGCTCGGCTGGAGCAGCTAGGACGGCTAGAGGTGCAAGCACTACAGAGGCGAGGATGGTGAATTGCATGTTGAGGATGATATTGAAGCAATGTAAAGCTGGGATATCAAAATGGGAAACGATGCACAAACCAAAGTGCACTTATATCACAAACATGTACCTGAGTACCATTGCTATACCCTGCACAGACCAACAGATTAACGCCAAACTGACAATTTACGGCGCAATCTCCTAGATTAATGCGCCTAGCTGCCCCACCGGCTGTATTCCGGGGTAACATTCGAGGTGCTATCGCCATTTGTGGTATTCAGCTTCGTCGTGGCCTTGTATGTTATTGACGTCTTGTGTAGGGGTCGGCAGTTGTTGTGGCAAGCGTATTTGTAATTGGGCTTGTTTGTAGGGCTAGGAAATGAACAGGTTCAGATAGAAGGGGACGCGAATTTGACCGAGGCTTGATGACGTTGGCGCGCGTATGTGGGGCCAAGAACTCGGGAGAGCTGACTCAATCAACGCCTGCACGTTCGCCGCAGAACATCAGATAAGTGCTCTGGAGCGAAAGACGGAAGGTCGATGGCTTGGACTCCTGAAACCAGTTTGACCGACACTCCACATCCCCTTGGCCATGTTACGATACGCGCGAAAATCCCCGAGACTCTAGGTACTGGCCACCTGCACTACGTAGGTATCGCTATAACGACATCACGAAGGTACCATCGGTCGTTGCCCTTTGACCGATAGCATGTGCACCATGGAAGCATTGTGTTTACCGTCTTCTATTGCGCTACTTCAAACCAGCTCCAAGAGCATCCTCTTCAGATTCACTGGGTAGGTCTTGTTCTCCAAGTCGGCTGCTGAATTCATGCTTGTGTACCACATCTGCTGTGGTGATTTCTAAGCACACTACCTAGGCAGTCCCTGATATACGCTGACCTACCGCATTAACATGAGGTACTCTAGGTTGCGTAAACAGCTCCTCAGCCCAAACATCACCACAAGCATCCTGGCTCGAACGACCACCACCTTTGTCGCCGCGCTACATTGACCAGTATTCAGATCCTGTTGTCACCTTCATCCTTGTCCATCATTTCAACGTCTCTACTTGCCAGCCTAGACATAGTCTTCGGTCCCCCTCGAAGCTTCCCGCTGTCCGACACATAACCGTAGTCGTGAAACGTTTGCAGCCTCTCTTCGACGATTGCTACCTTCTTGCGCTGCACCTCCGCCGTATCCTTGACAGGGTTCATTCCCTTGTCGCGGTACTTCAAACCATCGGAGCTCCGAGTATTCTGCTTTCATTGCTTCGCGCCAGATAAAACATGGGCATGTTTATATGGTTCTCCATAACTTCCAGTGCTGCTTCGGAAGAAATCACGAGCCTTGCTGTACACCTCAGGAAGACGAACAACGACCGCGTTACAGTCTTCATCTTCTGACAAGATTTCGGTATCACAGATGCCCTTGTACTCATTCCAGTTGTCATGAAGCTCTAGTTGAGATTTCTGGAACCTTGACCTGGGTCGTTCGTCGTTCGACTCAGAATGTACACCCTCACTCGCCTCTCTAGCTCTACGTTCGATTTTTTCGAAGGCTACCTTAACGGTCCGTAGCCTCCTTTGCTTGAAATTCTTAGATGATTGCTGGCACTTGGAAGGCTCGACTTGCTTCTTGGGTGTTGGTGGTAGACTGGGTAGCTCTTGCATAGCGCTGGCAACCACCGTCAGCGTTTCGGGTACTTTGGACTTGCAGCATCTTACCTCTGAGCCTTGACGATGACGGTATTGTGGGCAGATTGCGGCTGTGTTGTTCTTGCTCGCTTCGGATGCCCCATCAGACTCCAGCTTCTCGATTAGCATATGCTTGACTTGGTGGCGCCAACTACCGATTCCGGACGTCTTCAGCAACTCCAGTGTGTCTTCAATTGTCGTAACCCAAACTTCGGCGAAGAACTCGAAACCCTTCTTCTCATATTTCGAAAGGAGGTTCAAGAACGCAGGACTAATATCCAAAAGCTTGAACGCCGCCTTCATACTAGTTATGGAGTGTCTTAGGCAATACTGGGGGTGATGTAGCTCCTCGTGAACTCGGTCAATGACTATGTCGCACATGTCGGAATCTCCCGTTGCATGTGTGCGAACTTGTAAAGATCTTCCAGTTCTTCCATAGACCATTCTATCTTTGTGGCCAGCAGACCCTGGTGACCTGCGTCTGAGATCTCGACAACATCGTGAGTAGGCAGTTTGGACCGAGAAGCACGCGATGAAACGTGCGACAGTGTTGCCGTCTATGCCGTCTTCGTGGATGATTGTGTCGACGGTCGAATCATCTATGATGGCGTCGCGTACAAGAGCACAGCGTTCGACGGCTAGCGCACGGCTCAAGACAGGTCAAGTGGGATTTCCGCGTCGAGCGTCCCCGGCATTTCGTTTGGAGCTGAGAGTATCGTCTCTTGCTCGGTTGATCTTAAAACGTTTGATTTCCACACGTTCAGCCTGCAGATCGCCCACATCCACTTGCTTGGTAATCAAATCGGCAGAACTGGAAGCTTTAGTATATACCTTCGGAGTAACGTTAGTATGGAGTTTTTTACGTCTCTCATTTATTCTCAAAATCGAAAATGAGTGTATTTGATTTCGGTTTCGTCTCGACCATCTGCAAGAGAAGTACCACCAAGTTCTTATCCTGTTCACGAAGTAGCTTCACGCGTTCCTTTTCCACTCTCGTTACTATGGCTTCCACAAACCTTCTATCAGCCTTGTTATGCAGTTTTGGCCTATGAATCTGCTGAATGTTGCGCGTCGAAAGGTCGCTGCCCAGTGGCATATCGGCGAAGTTAGGCGTTATCACCTCAACGTCAACCGCCAGCAAGAACTTTCCCCTATCTCACACGTGCTTATTCACATATGATGTGGCTTCTTTGGAATCGTTGAGTATGCGATTTCTCATGTTATACAGGGCAGAAGTATTCCAGATATCAAGTTGTGAGTATTGAGAAGAGTGAGAGTTGAAGAGGATAGAAGGGCGCGCAGGGATTAAGATCAGGGTTGAACATGTTTGCGAGTTTTTAAAAGGGAAACACGCTCTCCCCATTCTCTGAGTAGATCAGATGATGCTCGTACGGTGTCAGGCAGGGAAAGAAGGCATAGCGTCGCAGCGATTAGCGAAGTGAAAGTGAAATCGTGATATCGTGAAACCAGCACACCGGCATACTTCAAGTCTATCTCGTTACACAGCTAGAGCAGGGAAACATGCTACCTGAAACTTGGTCTTTAGTGATTGACTGGCTCACGTGATAGGACGCTACGCTATCTATAGTTAGTGGCCGCTGGAAACCTCTACTGGGGTTGCGCAAGAAGCGACCAGGGACATAGATAGTCTTCCCCCATATGACGAACACGCGCCAACCTACTTTCCTATCGCAGCTTTAATGTCTCTCTTTCGATATGTCTATCAAGCGAGCAACGTTCAGGGGCTTCTTCCCATTCGAAGTTCGTCGAGAAAATCCCCACCCCGGCGCGTGTTTAACGCTCGGCCATTAGCGTAACCGCTCAATCAATCGCTTCGTTCCGTCCGGGCGCTTAGCTTGCTACGCTATTGCACAACGTTTCAGAGACGTGATCGCGTCCAGAGTATCGGATCTGGCTAACTAAATGGGAGTGCGAACATGGGTTTGCCGAGAGCCGTGCCGCAATGTATAATATGGAGACCCTGAGGGGGCGGATCGCTTGAAAGTTTCGGGCGGGTCGAGGTAAGTCCTCAAGTACTTTGAAATGCCCATCACTTTAATCGTAGGAAAGCTTCATTGCACTAGCTCGCTTCGAAAGACGCGAACCTGTGATTGACTGCTATGACTCAATATCGATTCGGCTCGATATCTCCGGTAGACGAAGCACCACTCGAGGTGCACCAGAACAACAGCGCGAACACTAGACTGTCCCAGGACCGATCTCCAAGCGAGGTCCAGCTAGTGGCACACTCTAGTAAGCAAACAACTCGAGGAGATTTGGGATACAATGTTGACCGTTGAGCAGCACCACACGTTCGGAAAGGGAGCGCCTCGTGGCTCCCCTTTACTCTAAGATGGTACTACCTGGTCATACTAGCTAGCCTAAGTCTTATTCTGGGTTCCTTAATCGTTTGGCTCAGCTGTCACTCTAGGAGCAACCATGGACTGGGGAGTAATGACGGCTCGTCGGCTATACTCTTCGGATGGCGCTTTACTCCCACTCTCATCGCCGTGCTTTACGCGCAGATGACTGTCATACTATTCGAAGATGTGAAGAGAACGGAACCATTTGCGCGACTTGCTAAAGCATCGACGGAAGGTACAAGTGCATATGGCACCATTCTCCAGACCCCAAGAGCATGGTGGTCCATCTTTATGGACATCTGCTTCTATCGAAGGCGGATTGGCAGAACTAGCTGGAGTTTGGTTTGCGCTGCACTTGTCAACCTCATTGCACTGCTAGCTGTATCACCCCTTTCGTCGGCCCTACTTACTTCTGAGGAAGTCATTATTCCTGGACCTACCGAATTCACGAGACTAGTGCCTAAGAACGCTACCCAACTTCCAACAACTGCGACCAGAGACACTTACTTTCGAACAATGGCCGCGCTTATGAGGAATGTGTCAACGTCAGTCTGGGTCACCGACACCTCTCTGACATTCCCTTTTTGGCCATCGTCGGAGCTGGCACAGTATGGCCCCAGAATGACATCGTCATACGGTGCATGGAATGCAGAAACTACTACGTTAAGGTCAGATTACGTTTGCCACGATATGAGACTCAGGAGCGCAGATTTGATGGAAGAGCATTACTCTGAAGTATACTCGGTACAGAAGTACGGTCCCTACAACGGAACACAACCCATGGTCACGTTCGTGCTGGACTCCGATCAAGGGTGCAGATACGAGTTGAAGATACACCCCTTTGCTGACCTTGCGTACAATGGAGGCATGACCTGGTCCAATGCGACTACCTATTTCCCTACTGGCAACACACTCGGTATTGGCGGCATAGTTGTCCCGCCTAATGTTACTTCCACGCACGTATACGCACGAGTCAAAGCAACTCAAGAATGTAACAACCATGACATCATTCTTATGAATACCCCATGGACCGCCTCCTTGAACCGAACGGAAATGGGTCCCTTCATTCCCGAGAACGTGACGTACGAACGCTCATCCGACTTTCGTATGCGAGGCATCTTATGCAGTTCCCAGTACTCCATGTTCACAAATGTCACGAGGGCAACGGGCTTTGGAGATCAGAGCCACTACCTGAACGCAAGCTCCGAACCCGATTCAAGTAGCCGGGAACTTTCTGACAAGATGGTGAATGTTTCCAACTTCCAGGCGACAAGCATGCAAGACAATTGGAAGACGTACTTCGACCAAAAGAGCATGTTTATTGATTCCGAAAGGGCAACAGGGTCGATTCAAGGTTCGCAGGATGCCGGTAGAGCCTTGAGCTATTCTGGGATGGCGCCTGTGCTTGCCGCACTCTCAGGCTTCAATCTGATCGCCTTGATGAACGACCCCAACATCACCCAGACAGCAGCAAGAGTCAAGGGACGGTTTTTTATGGAGACGATACGTGAGGCGCTCGACTTACCAGAGTTCGTTCAACAAGAGAAACTCCAAGGGTCTGCCACTGTTGTTCAGGAAAGGGTTGTTGTTCTGACTGAAATCGGATTTACATTGGCGGCGCTGTTCTACGCTTCAGCTGTGTTTCTCGCCGTGCTAGTTTGGGCGTCTCGCTTGTCTCATCGACCGCTTAATCTTCTCTCGGATCCGTCTAGTATCGCGGGTCTGAGTCTTCTACTACAATCCCACCAGGTCCGAACAGCTACCTTCAGAAGCTTGCACGCAGCTTCAAGATATGACTTCTACAACTCTTTACGAAAGGAGAACTACTTGACGTCAGGCCAACATTTGATCCAAGGAAGCGCACAACCTAGTATGTTAAGACGGTATCTCATGTGGTGTGACGGACTTGCTAATTTCGGACGTACAGCAATCATCCCACCGCTCATCAAAGCGAAATCTGATTGGAGACCTCGTGTAATTCAAGTACGGATGCTTCTCGCCTTGGGTGTCTTACTTACGTCTATCATGGTCGCAATTTTGACTTTGAACGCTTTCTCCGCGCGTTCACTACTATCTCAAGCCGGCTTTACTTACGAGGCCGACATCTCTAAGTTGAATCTTAGTTTCCCGACGTTTGCACCTATCTCAATCGCACCGACCGTCGCCAGTATCGTAATCGGACTCTGGTGGGATCAACTGGACATGACGTTCAGGACACTTCAGCCCTATATATCGATGTCCCAAGGCCCGACATCGATCAATTCCGGGGCAGGTCTAACGTACAAATCCAAGACATGGGTTGGTGCAGCCATTAAAGCAGCCCGTTTCAGGCATTGGGTTCTTTTCATGGTCGCCGTCGGCTCTGTTCTGGCCCAGGTCCTTACTGTCTCCATGTCTGCTTTGTTCGAGAGAACATCCACAAACACCTCTAGGCAGATAACGCTGCTCCAGAACTTGGAAATGCGCCATGATGCCTTGATAACCGAAGTCGACGTAATTCGGGGCGACAGGCCGTACGATGTTTCCCAAAGCGTTTTGAACGAGCTGTATCTTGATGCTCGTAACAACTGGCTATACGGAGCAGGGATACAACATGCTTTCAACGGCTCGCAATTGCCCTGGTCATCAGAAGGTTGGAATTTCCTACCGGTCGACCTGTCGCATGTTTCAAACACGACTGGCCCGCAAACCCTGCAGGACCCCTCCAGCAGTACAGCGTTCGCATCGACTAACGTAAGCCTTCAAGTACCTGCTATCCGCGCAAGACTGGAATGCAACCCTATCGAGGAAATTTCGAACATATCATCGTGGCTTGAGCCCGTTAATCTTACCGAACACGAAAGTAGTATGCTGCCAGAAGATATGGCACGACTCAAGAGTACAGGAGGGCTTCAAGTTTACACATTGCCATCTAGTATTTTCGAGAACAGTTCATCCAAGACTACGACCTTCTCACCATCGACTTATGTCGCATGCTGCGCCAATGGAACTATTGAGAAACCGCGCCAGAGCGTCATGGGCTATTGGACCGCAGTTCGAAATCGATTTATATGGGAAGACGATGCCGAATACGTTTCATGGCCGCTGTCTATCGTGCCGAAATGGATCGTCGGGAAGCCCGTCAGTGTCAAAGATTCCAACGGATACCAAGTTGTGTATTTCAGAGAAATACCTCGAATGCAGGCTGCTAATTGTCAACCAATTATTGAGACTACGGAAGCTACTATAGCTGTCGATGCTCAGTCTGGATCCATAATTTCCTCGAGAATTGACAGTTCGGTAGAGCCGATGAATCTCGCGTGGGACGATGCCTTCACACGGCACGAGGTACCTGGCCATACTCCGGCACTCGCCAACAATACTTATCGAGGGCCATTGAACGTCACTACGTCCTTTGGTATACTATTCCTGGGTTCGATGATGGGATCTGCGAATCGACAGTTTGATGACAATGCCTTCGTGTTTCGAGACAAAGAGTATGGCATTGACATGGATCTTATGACCAATACAATGTATGCTATGGCCGGCAAAGATGCTGAAGCACTACTCAACTATACAACCTTCACAGCTTTGGCCGACCGCACATTCCAGACGTTCTTTCAGCAGTTCGTCAATAGTGGGTTGTCCTTGGCAGAGGGTGGCTTTACATACCAACCAGTGAACGACAAAAGTATAGAAGATCTGAGCCGTCCAATTGACGCGAATGGCACAGTTCTGTCGAAACGTGAGACTATTCCGACACGGAATATCTCGGCGTCAGTGTCGACCCGCATCCGTGTTCTACATCTGAACACCATTGCAACCTACCTGTCAACCGCAATATTGGTATGGCTTACAGTCACAACCCTCATCATCATCTGTCTGCAGCGAAATTATACGAGCTCAATGGTTCGCGACGTACAGCTCATTGCCGACATGCTGGTTCTCGTAGCTGGTAGCGACAAGTTCTTAGAGCTCGTGGAAGAGCGCGGCATCGCATTAAAAAAGGACCGAGAAGTTCAGACAATGCTGGGTTGGTTCAAGGACAAGGACGGCGAGGTTCGCTGGGGAATCGAGGTGGTTGGTGGAAGAGATCCAGTTCAATGGGTGGACGCTCTAGAAACAGGGAACCATATCCGGGAGAAAAGTCCGCTGAAGCCTGGATGGTTACTTCCATGGAGGAGAAACTAGTCTTTAGTGAATAGAGAGAGAATGATTTATTTCAGTCGCTATCTTAGCTGCGCATCGTCTACATGTTCTATGATCGGGAGTGCAGAGGTTCATAGGAGCAAAACCATTCACAATCTTGAGATCGACGCCGTGTGCTCCTAGAGCGACAGACCAGCTTGTTTGCCCGTATGCCTGTCCACAGCGTTTGGGATGATGTTCAACCAATGTATAAGATTGTTCCCTAGAGACACCGAATGCTTGCGTTGAGAACGGTGTCAACATTCTAGAATCCCATGGTTCGCGGAGCTAGACACTTCCTTGACTTAGCAGTATCGGGCTACCTTACCCGTTACGATCCGTGATTTCTGGAGGTTGGACGAGTGGCTGAATTGCTGTTGCTGACGTACATCCGTGCAGAGTCGTATCTAGGGATGTATCCGATCGATATCGATAACGGCAGACGGGAACGCTGGACTTCGTAAGTGTGGGGTCGATCCATGGATGGGTGGAGAAGTGTGACGGCGTGGAGCAAAGTAACCGACTACAATGTTGTTCTGGAACACGAGACTACTGCACGACACAAAGTCTGATGCGAATTCTGCTGATTATTTTGTGCGCGGATCGTTGCAAGTGCAGGCTGACTTCGCAGACTCGATGGTCGCTGCTTGATTGATAATAATCCTAGCTCACCAAATCGCAACAGGCTGGAGTTGGCCCACAATGCCAGCTGAACGCATGATCTGCTTGAACGGCTCCCCAACGACCGTCTTAGTGCTGCACACTGCAAGGCGCCGGCAGTCGTGTTTGCACTAAGGACTGTGGTATGTTGGGCGGCTGACGCAATGAACGGCGACTTACGGGCCGCGGAATTCGGGCCTGAACGCCCAGATGTCTAGAAATCTCGATGTGGCATACGAACGCGCAACATGTAGAACTCTCAACCGTGGCTCGAAACGCAGGTCTGGCTGCGTGGCCTGTATCTGGCTAGTGCGCGAGCTGCTACCTTTGGCCCTCCCGGCCGCTGTCAGTCGTGGGAACGCTGCTTGTGCGCGCCATGCGTGCCGTTGAGAGGGGGTTGGAGTGTGGTAGCTGCGACATGAATTGATTTTGGAAACATGTTCGCTGAAAGCCACAGAACGATCTGGCGCAGGACCTCAATGCATTTGTTGACTGGAGCGATCTGAGTCTGAAATAGCTTGCACTCGCTTGCGATGTGATCTGCAGGGTGCTCGCGTGGTCAAAACAGACGGCGCAGTCGAATAAGCATTGACTGTTTCGAAAAGTATTCTTAACATCACGACTCGGCTTGAAACACATTGCTCGATTCCTGTGACAAGAAAAGAAAACAGGTTGCTACCAGCGATCTGCACAAACATCTATTGCAATAAAGCACCAGGTTTTGAGATATACGCAATGGGACGCGAATCAGCCACGCATACATCCGAAATTAGTTAACTTCTCAAGCCAAAAAGCGTCGTGAGATGATAGCGATTGAATCTATTTCTGAGCTACAAATGAATTCACCAATCCAAGACGTCTTTGCGTACAACCCCACGTTCATATTCAAATAAAAAGGAGTCAAAAGTCCTCGACGAAGCGAATGTATGGAACAGATGGGCCCCGCTAGCCCGGCTGATTAGAACTAGAACCCCAAGATGGTATCCCGTATCGTGACTTCGTGAGAAATAATGTGCGCAAGAGAATAGAAGTGCAGACCTCCAGGATGGCCAAGTAACGCACCCAGTATGTCGCTCGGACAGCATGGAAGGCGTGGGATAAGGATGAAGATGAGAGAATCAAGCATGACAGATGCGGATCGATAACGTAGTGTAGAAATGAATAGATTGGGCCTGCGACACTGTCTACCTCTGTCATTACTCGAGTCGGATCAACTCTAATCTCCCCTGCCTATTTTTTTCTGGGTATATCGCGAAATTGGTATCCTGAATTATCGGCTCGTAGAATATGGAAGAAACCAGTCCATTAAACACCAATGCCATATTAAACAAGTGACATGGGATGCTTATGCGTGGAAAGGCTGATGACGGCGGGCGTGGTCGTGAGCGTGCCTCTTTGCGTTGACGTACTCGTAGGCGGTAACGTAGACAACCTTGGTCTTGGTGAGACCCTGGTAAGGGTTCTCGTCCTGCTTGGCGGGCGCAGGGGTGACGGCGGCAGCAGCAACCTCGATATCAGCTGTGTAGGAATCCTCGTCGGAAGCGGAGGAAGCGGAGGTGGAAGTAGGCTTTGCGGCGGAGTACTCGGCCTCCTTGGTGGAGCTGGAAGAAGGCTCAACAGAAGAGGACTTGATGGGAGAAGATTCGTAGTCGTCGGTAGGCGCCTCTCCACCACACATGTAGAAAGTCATGCTCTGGGAGAGATCACAGGTCTTAGTCTGGACGTCGTCTGGAAGGACATAGGAGCATTTGTTGCAAGAAGCGACGTCATGGCAAGACAGAACGGGGCACCATGTGTTCTCAGAGGCTGCCTTGAATTTTCCAGTCTGGTCGCCTGCAACGAGGTAGTATCCCTCTTGTCTGGTTGGGCATTCCTCGCCCTCGCAGTCCACGTAGGAAACGTCAAGGTAGTTGTTCGAGTATTCGCCCGAAGTCTGGAGGAAGTACTCGAGCTGGGTGATATCGACACCCTTGCACTGTTGCGTCTTCGAGATCTTGATAGACACTCCAGTCTTGCCGTCCTCAGCGGTAGCGTAGTTCTCGGCGTAGCTCTCGCCGGTCTTCAAAGTGACCATGCCGGATGAAGGGCAACCGTCGCCCTTGTAGACGGACCAAAGGTTGACATCGTAGTCGCAACGGTTGACGATGCGAGCGTGGGGCTGGTTCGTGTCACAGTCCTTGTTCAGGGCGACGGCGCTCCTCAAGCTGTCAGCAGAAGCGGTTGCGACCACGGCCGAGGCGACGGAAATGAAGGTAGTGAGCTGCATTGTTGGAAAGCTGAACCGGTTTAAAACTGGACGAAAAGCTTAAGACTCGAAGAAATCGATCGAAGGAATGTCGGCTGAACACCTGAAAGAGTGAAGTTATTCAGCGAATGAACGTGGGTGACGAAGTCTTGCTCGGGCGGTAGAGAAGAAGTTTGGGACCTGGGGGATGCGCAAGTAAATAAGATGGCTGTATCCTAGTCCACGCAGCCCAGGCCCACTTGGAAGCCCGTCCGTCATGGAACTAGTCGTCGCCACGGCATGGACTTCTTTAGAACGGGGCCAAACGTCGTAGCTAGTCCGGAGGACATGCATGGAACAGCGTGCTAGCCGCGAGCGGATAGGTTCTGAACAAGCTAGGTAAGGGGCGATCCAGTCGGCCAAGCGCAGTGCCTGATCGTCAGGGCACTTGCAGTGCGAGTGGTTGTAACTTTGACCATCTCATGTCGGGTAAAGTACGAAAGCAGAGTAAATTACGGCAGGGATGTCGCTGATCGACGTTGTTGTCTTGCTGGATTGCACTGGCTGCAGAGATTTTCGGCTAATACGAGGCAGCTTCTTGGGCGCGTCGTACTCTGACTACAACATAGATGCGAAGCAGTTGTTTGGCTCGTTGATCAAGTCGAGCGCTCCTCTGTTAGGGTGCGCAATGTGAAAGTATTCGAGTTGGTGGTGTAAAATCCCGAGATGAGTCCGCTTGGCAAGCCTGACTATCCTCTTAAGCGATACATCTCCCGTTTGCAAAGCTTGAATAGGGGCTGTGTCCAGGCCTTGTCAATCCCTCAAGAACATGATCATTTGGGACAAGTTGTCGGATCGACAAATTGTAGTCCAACCGTTACAACGACAAGTCGTAAGACAGCTGTCATGATAATGTTGTAATCGTTGAGTTGCGCGATCCTTTGTGATGACGACGAGCGTAGGATGCGTAGCAGGAGCATGCATCAAGTGCGAGGTCCAGGCCGGTGTGTTGTCGCAATGTCGCAGAAAGCCGGTAGTTCGAACCATTGAGGAAGGGCCCAATCCCACTTTTCATTTCCCGGCCTCGCCAACCGGAAGTCTCCCACGATAGGCGGTGCAAGATGAGATCAATACAGCCACACATGACAGCTCTCTGTTCTTTGTTGCGCTGATTGCGCTCAATCGAAGCAAACAGAAACTGACCTTGGCTGGCTTGGAGGTGGAGCGTAGCGCTGTGAAGCGTACGATGAATGTCGTCGCCCAACGACCAGACCATCTCGGCGACGCGATTCATACCTGAGTATGCAGAGTAATTTGCCAGCGAGTCGTCCATAGTTGTGCTCTGGTTGTGCACTTTGTCCAGAAGCGTTGTCGTTTGCCTTACTTCACAAATTCACTTTAGTTGGGCCTCACATATAGAATCTTGGTGAGGCTCTTTTGTCCGGCACGTGACAAAGGTCTGCTCATCAAAGATCTGCTTCTTCAGCTAGCAGCTTCTTATCCACTATCGTATTTATCCGACAAATGGACCTTGAATGCAACAAACAGTTGACAATACAGCTGAGAGCAATGTTTTTAGAAAATAGTAAATGTTCCTCGGAACCTCCCTCCACAAGAAGACATCTCGCCTGTATGCCTCGTCGATCCATATCGCGTCGACTCGGAAAACTTCACAGTGCAAGTCCAACTACCCGAGCATAACACGCCACACAATACGCGCCGCAATTCGACGTATGCCCTTTCGTTGTTCTACTCAGAGTCTTGTAAGGGGGGTTTATGGCCCAATGGTACCAGTCGTACGCTGAATTCATGCAGGCAAGGTCCTAGCGGTTATTATGTCAAGCACTGCGTAGTTCACGACGTCAATTCAAAGAACAAACCTGTGCCATATGACTTGCGCACAAATAGCTCGGCACACGTGGAGCTAAAGGTCTTGGGTTAGTATAGAAATGTGTCTTGCCCGACGACGCAATGAGTAACGTCCCACGACTACTTGAGCCGTAGTACGACATGGCCACCATCGACTGCTGGACAGCAGTCCAAAGCGCAATAGGCTAGATTCAGACGCCGCCAGCTCCTAGGTGGATCACTACCTATGCACATCACCAAGCTATGAGCATACGCCCTTTTTGGTATCAAGTTCCCTCATGTCTTGATAAGATCCGGTTGCGTAGGCGAAAACGCTCGTTAAAGACGTCTAGATTACATTCTCATTAGTTTGCTAGAATTCGATCAATGCGCGTAGTATCTTGGCTCTTAAGAAGACATTACACACAAACTGTATGTATCACAGGAGATACTGACAAGATTCAGTGAGCAACATCTGTCTTAGACTCTGAACGCTTTCGCCATGCTCCTCAGTGGCCGCTGTTCAGCGCACCATATATTGGCCACTCAAGCTTACACTCATGGTCGATTCGATATCAACGGAATACAGTAATGGCTGGCGGCGATATCCGCTCCCACTCAACGATCGAAGCAAAGACGCTCCTCACCTGTTATGGTACCACCTCAGTCGGGCTGCTGACCTGCTTTTGGATCAGCTCCGCATACGCCAACCAAAAACTACCAGCTGTCAGATACTGCCCACGGAAAACATGCCACCATACCCTTTGCTGTATGGCTTATTCTCCTGCGTCGATAGAGGCGCTCTACAGAGACTATCTTGAAGCAAAGCGCTTAACTCATACTCAATCGTTGCAAATAAGCGAATGCGTTTTCATGTTACAGTTATCACGCGGCTCTGCATGTAGCCAAACGAAGCTGCATGCTTACTCGTCCAGACGTGGTAGGCGCCACTCTTGCTGTGTTGCGGTCATGGTTATGCCGCCCGTCGGTGGATTTCACATTGTCTTTGCAGCCGCCTCCAAAGCGACCGGATACATACGGCCCAGTTGTACCAAGGATCCACATCTAGCAGATTGTATCTCTTCGTTATCCGGCTCCTTATCAAGTCATTGTACCTCCGCGGGACAGATGAACCGATCAGGAGTATCCAGCCCAAGCCTAGGATTACAGTGTCTTGACACGTCCGTCACTGTACGATAGCCGACTTCGATACTATGAGATCTTGATACGTCAGAATGTAATGCTCTAGCAGGATTGAGCATTATGTCCGGGTTCTCTACCGTTTAGAACAGGTTGGTCGTCTTAATGGCACCCCGCAATCGTTGCGCTTATTCTATGGTGTATCTCCTTAGTTCTGCCCCTCACGTACTACACTTCCGTTTGCAGAACACTGCGTAATAGCCCAGCGGTGCGGTTTGAGGAACTACTTGGCGCGTCGAACGGTGAACGATAAGCGAAGGACTAGATTCACAAGTACCTCAGTGGACGGAATGACTGTTGAAAAAAAAGTTAAACGAACTAGCGCTGTCAAGTGCAGTCTCCAATAGAAAAGTAGATTGGGCTGCAATGATCAGCAGTTCGAGACGCGGCAGTTTGGAGGACCATACCAGCATACCACAGGTGCGCTCGAAGCGCATGGCGGAGGTAGCGATCATCGCGGAGATCTTCTGGAGGCAATGCACGCATAGAATTCTTGCATTTCGCAAGGCATGTACGAATTCGAACTTGGTTAAACCAGACATCATTCTTAAGCGATGTTGAAAGTACCTAGGTAGCCATAACGGTCGCGGTCTAATTCTGGTATACTCCAGTTCGCCATCATCGATGTACACTAATAGTGATGTGTCTTCTCAAGCGAAAACAAGGCAATCCGCTCTTATGATATCATGTACATGCTCGTCTATCGCAATCGTGTGTCATATTGCAGTGCCCACACGATTCGCAGCAGCATTGAATATTGATACATGGTTTGGGTAAGTGGTGATGCAATTCTACGCCTGCTTACGGTACACAACAGCGCCTTTGCGGCGGCGGCGGTAGGTTCGCGTTGACTGCCTTTGATTGCAAAACATCTATCCCTTACGTTTGCTCACCATTGCCAATACAAAGATGTGCCTGAGGAATCTCGGGGACGAGAAGATACCTATGACGAAACCCCTGTTCGATGAACTGGCGGTGGTTCATTGATTGTTAGCAATGGCGTTGTGCAATCGTCCTACTATCTACAGAGCCTGAGGAGCTGGGCCATGGAAGCCATGACACCGATCTTCAATATCCAACATGGCCAACTTATCTACACGCCACTTTCCGAGACCATTTCGATACTCTTGGATACTGTGAAGATCAAATTGATCAAGGCAGGAGAAAGGTGTAGTACCATCAAGATTTGATTGTCAAGATGGCAAGAATATGGACTAGCCTTGGTGCAACAAACAAGTCAAGGTTGCTGGCGCGACAGACACAAGCAGCCGTGCATATTCATATCCAGTAAAGTACTGCTTCGAAGCAGCGGCTCGCGCGGGACCCAAGTAATAGCTCAAGGTATAAACTAAACGACAGCAGGATAGCTAGGCAGTCAAGTAGTATTGCATCGAACCCCATAAAAGTTCGACCCGCATCATTACCGTGCCACGCACGCGCATGATCGACTCGTGCATGATGTAGCTGCATGGGCCCAACTCCGCATGCATCTGACATACGCCGTCTGTGGCCATCTTACATACCTAGATTTTCTTGAGCGACGATCAGGTTTACGGGCGCGCATGTAGCGCAAGAGCCATTTCCGCAATCGGTACGGCCGGGAACGTTCAAGGATGGATCAAACGGCCACAGCCACGGCCCGTGATCGGTGCCTGGGTAAGCTCAAGATACGGGAGGGCTAGGTTTTGACATGGTATACGTGGTGATGAGGCTCCTACAAAGGTACATACTCGGTTCCTGATCGGTGAATTCGTGCGCCGGTTGTATGCGATGGCAAAGTGCCAAGTGCCTCGTTGAGATACCATGTAGACTTTAAAATTCGGAAGTTTTAACCCGTTGTGAGAGTAACAGGTCTAGAACTCGGATGTTGAGAAAGTCACTTCTGGTAAGAGGCCACCTAACTTTTGAACGACGGATGCGCTGTCTGTCTTGGTAGGTCAGATGGTGGTACGCCCTTCGCAGGATGCGTTTCGCCTGTGTGGTAGCATTTCCCCACTCGTGGCAAGAAACGGCAAAGAAGGGGGGTTGTAAGATTTTCGCGAAGGTTGAGTTTGATAACCAAGCGCGACGGTTGCGGTGAAAGCATGCCATATCTGCCGGATTAAATGTAAGCCGCCACAACCGCCAGCCAACGAAACACTTGCGATTTGAGCCGTGCCGCTGGTCTCCGGCATGCCGACAGCGGTTTGTATCTGACTTCGGCAACGTGGTCCAGTGAGGTTGAAGAAAAGATCATCGGTGTACAGCTTTGCCATCGGCTCGTGCCGTAAAGTGTTCAGCCGAATATTATCCCGAGTCGAGGCAAACCTCTAACCCGGGTTACTGCATACCATTGGTTAACAATGTTATGGTAAATCGTTTACCATTTGAGAAGCTCATTCGTTAGCGAGAAATGAGAGATTAAAATGTTTGCGGCACGTAGCAAAGCGCTTGCTTTTGATTGACGGATATTTGGGCTCGAGCATTGTGTAAGCTTCCTACGGATCATACTCTACAGCCTGACTATTGCCAGGAGCAATGAGCGGTGTGACGCCAGACGGAAAGAGAAACAAAATCTGAGAGCTGCAGTAACACTATGTGTGTAGAGGGAAATGGTTCATCGAATACAAAAAGATATGAGCTTTCCTTAGCTCTGCCACGAACGCCGTATCTATACACCCACAAGGACAGCTCCGGTTGAACTGAGTCTGCTGGTCTCTTGTACTTCTATAAAGCGCCAAACTCCAAAAGGGTAGAGAAACCAAAAAGCTTTTGCGTCTGCAAGTATGCGAAGGATCATTAAGGATCTGGAGTGATTGGCGCAGCACATGCGCTGATCTTCGGTGCAGGTGGACATTTCCTGTTCACATATGTGCTGACCTCAATTATGAAATACTAGCGCCGCGAAGGTCAGGTAGTAACGGGGTGTATGTCGACGAACATGTTCAGCAGCTGCGCAATGGTGCATACCAAAGGCGAAGCGCTTTATGCTTTCTTTCCGTTGATGGCTTTCAGCTCGACGTCACTGTCATAGCGTCAGCATTCTTGTTGCAACCCATGCACAGATTTGGCGATAGCAAGATGAAATGAACAGCTAGTGAGCTGTGCGTCGTATAGAAGAACAACCCACGCTAGTAGCCCATGGAAGAGGCGTCGCAAGCGTGCTGCAGTATCTCCAATGGCAAACGAGATAAAATTGAGCACTTACAAGATCAATTTGGCATTCGCGGGGATATGTCCGGGAAATCCACTGTTGTCCACAGTCAGCATTTGCATTCCATCATCTTATCAGATCATCGAGGTTCCAGAATCAGGGGTTGTCATAGGCTGCAGACACCCGCGTCGTACAAGATTCGCGGTTGCGGCGGCATCAACGTCCAGAAGTGCGGAAAGTTCTGAGAAGAATGGCTCAAAGGATCCTCGGAACGTCGTAAGCCGTGCTGGTCCTTGGCTCCGTGTGGCTTTCGTATCCGCAGTGGCGTGTACTTCGGCAGCATCCTGTCTTGCTGGTTCCCGTCCCAGTCACGGGCTGTATGAAATGTAAATCGGACTCACCGAGGACCATATGCATAATCACTGTATCGCACGTGTCGTTAGCACAGTGCATCCGCGTGAGAAGGCATATCGATCAGAGCATTACTTACGGTGTTATGATCAAAGTTGCCTTTTCTCCCAGCGTCATGGGTGACGCTTCTGCGGAGCCCAGAATGCCCTCGTCCCACCCTGTGCATAAGCGTCAGTCGACATGTAGATCTAGATTTGCAGAGTGCACATGCACCAGGTACGAAGCAGGATGATTCGGACAGCAAGAACATACCTTTGATGACTCGGCCTGCGCCGATGGGAGTAATCAGGTCACCCCGACCTACAGAAGTATCGAATCTGAGATACAGTCAATGAGACGTTCCATTTGGAGTCCAAAGCAATGAACTCTGCCGGCTTGCTTACTGTCCACCTTTGTGGTCTGGAGCATCATCGTCGAACAACCAACCTGGACCGTCGTTAGATATTGATATCGGGTGAAACGCTAGTCTTACCAGTGTATTCCATAGAGACTTCATCGTGTTTCTTCGGGTAGTCTATACCGTTGCCCGGCTTGATAACGAGCTTCTCTACGCCCATACTGCAGGAGTCGATCATGGATAGCGTTCAGGGTAGAATATTTCTTCTTGGTTGGGGAGGCAAGTTGTGAAGCTCAAGGCGAACAATGTGCAGAATACGTAGAGTATACACTTCGCTTGGTGGTGATCAAAGAGCTAGGACGTCTGTTAGAAGTCGAGAATATGTAAAGATGGATGTGTAGGTCGAGAAGTGGGTGGATCCCAGGTTTTAATAGTGGTGCCGATATGTGAACCGAAGAACAGGAAGCTCCGTAGAGGCTCTGACTGGAGCTTAGACTTACATGGCTTTTGCTTCGACCAAAAGCATACCAGGGTTTTCCCGCGAAGCTGTGCAACAGATTGGCCTGCTCGGATGCGTCAAGCATACTTTTTAGCCCCTTCGCATATGCGCCTGTCCCACATCTTTGGCTCGAAGGCAATTGCGGGCTACGTATGGTACGACCCACAGCCGTCAGAACGTGTCCGTCTCTCGGGGAATCCTGCCCGAAGCTCAGGCCGTTTTGAATGTCAGAAGTAAGGTTGGTCTAGCCCTTCCAAACCGCTCTTCATCTGCAACATCCCAGCTGACACGCGATTGGGGCTCCACAAGTGACATGGTGGAAGGTTGTACCCGTACTAAACTTTCCCGCGACTACCGAGCGGCCTGCCAAGTTGGATACCTACCGACGTTTGTTTTGTGACAACGCGGGCTTAGTCGCATCCGAAGACGGCCTCACTCCTAGTTTGACACGGGCACAATGATGAAGAACTTTGTGCGAAATTACACCGATAGGGGTAGTAGATCGAAGTAGGGTGGTGGGGTGCAAGAGACTATGGTTAAGCTCGCGAAGTGCGGTGACTGTCACTACAATCAAATGTGCGCACGGCGTTGGCGCTAGAACCTTAATCCCTTCCAAGAAGCCGGAAGGCGCAAATAAGCCGGCCATGGTCCCTATCTCATTAGCAGTGGCATGATGGAAGCAAAAAAGAAAAAGCGCCTCTGACGCTACAAACCTCGGCCTCGTCGAATAGGACACGACCGCTGCGCTACCTAGGTACACAGTCATAGAGACTATGCGTAAACTTTGATTCGGCAGCACATCAGGACCTGCATAATTGGCTGTTATCAAGCCTGAGTAGGGCGCAAAAGAATCTGATTGCAAAACTCCCCTCAAGCTCCGAGGACACAAGTGGCGGTCATACAGATTTGCGAATGGAGTAAGTATGGACAAGGGTGACGTACATGTGAGAGAACGCAGAACCGTTCCCAGAAAAGTAAATGTTTGTTCATCCGCGGTAGATGTACCCCCACGGTTTCAGAACTCTCATGGTCTTGTACAACTTAATCGTTCCTCTAATCCACTCTGCTGCTATAAATCACACTCTTAATGTGCGAACTGAAGACCCCTTCTTTGCTCATCAATGCCTCTAATCCATGTACAAGATGCGGACCCAAGAACCCTAGCTATATTTCTGCTTTCAAGTTTATTATGGTTTGCCAATCAGAGGCATAGCGGGATCACAGCCGATTGCCGTACGGTGCTGGACCCACCCGGAGAACAACCGTATTGCAGCGGTTCGTCAAGAGAGCCAAATGCGGGATTGCTGGTTATCGTGCTTCTCGCGGCAAACGAATAAATATTTTGGACCAGGGTAAGAGAGCGCAAGTAGTGTGGGGCTAAAGATTGTGAATCCGATGGCCATTACACGTGGTCTTTTGACCGTGCTTTAACCATCCCCTTCTCAGTCCATCAGCTAACTTACGATGAAGACGATCGCGAGCCCTGTGCGTTGAGCCGGGAGCCCAACAGCGTGGTCTGGGAGCATTGCACGCTTCACATTGGCTAGTTTAAATGCGCTTGCAGCGGTAACTGAGTCGTGGAGAAGCTCCACGCATCTGGAGTGCAGCATCGTAATAGCAGAGCATGTAGCCCCAGTTGACTAGTGATATGGACTACACCGACTGCACGTTACCATATCAGCGGACAATTTCGCTTCGAAATAAAATATCCGAAAGGCAATGCGCGCTGCATGCTCACTCGAACCAACCGTTGACAAAAGTTCCTTGATAACGTGGCGCCGGCTTCGTGGCCCGAAACTTTCAACAAGGAGGGTTTCAGTGGCGCCTCCAACTACCGAAGGGCTACCCATGGCCAAGATGATATCACCCTAGGTTCGTCCAGAATGGCGATTGCGCCAGGTCGGTTACAGCAATACTAGAGAAGCCCGCATTGGGGAAGCGGCTGTCTTTGCGCACACCGGCCCGGTCAGCATAATGTATCTGGTCTATCCCTGCCTTGCGTATGAAAGCCAATAGCCGCGCATAGTTTGTACCTATCTGGTCGATTCCATGACTGTCGTCAGACATGACGAAACCACCTCCCATGCGTAAGAACATCTATGACATACGTTAGTAAACTCGACGCCGAGCTCGGGCATATGGCGGTGTGACTGACTTGACATATGGGCAAGCACGGATACGGCTCGGCCAAACCTTTTCGCAACCCAGACGAGTTCAATTCGAGAAGAGCGCCATAAGAGGCTACGTATTCCAAGTTACGCTTTATTCTGTCCCAAACGCCAGGCATGCCCTGGAAATCGGCGTCGCGATGGTCGCTAAGTAGGCGAATAAGATCAAAATGCCCGACCACTGGTGGCTGTAGCTCCTGAAGCATTTCGTACTGGGAGTCGAAGTAGTCCTCAAAGAGGCGCTCGTCGGTACCACCTGCCTTGTCTCTAGCTTGTTCGTACATGGCGCGGTCGAAGTCGATTGGTATCGTGTGCGTGTGGTGGACAGAGCCCATGAAGAAATCAAAGGTGTACTTGTCGAGGATGCTGCGAATGATGTGCAGCGTAGATGGGCGGATGTACTCGGTTTCGAAGCCGATGAGTATCTGGATCTGGTCCGAGTACGCGTCTCGTAGTCGGTGGGCTTCGACGATAAAGTCATCGAATAGCTTCGCGAGACTCTGCTCGGTGTGAGATTCGGCTTCTTCAGGATAGAAGTCTTCCTGCGGCCTGGGTATATGCTCCGTCAAGGAGAAAGTATGGAAGCGTTTGGCTATTGCTGCCTGGACGACTTCCTCAAGCGTGTTCTGCGCATGTCCACAGAATTGGCCAGAATGGCTGTGGTGGGAGTAAGGCATCTTTCGACAGTCACTACTTGTTCAATTCCTCGCAGCGTGTAGCTGTCTGGTGTCAAAGCTAGCTAGAATGTGTAGCGGGGTACCTTCAAAGGACGATTCCTACTTCACCAGTAAAGCTGCTTGACTGTGAGTTGCGTGAGGACGAAAGATTGCTCTGTATGCGTCCAAGTACAATGGATGGACGTACTTGGAAAGATATCCGCAAAACTGTCAAGCGTGTCCCGCTTTGCTTCCAAAAGTTCTGGCTGGGACCGCGAGACGAGACGAATGATGTAATCCGTCAGCTTCGGAACGCCCAAAACGGCATAGTCTACAACTTTCACTCTGCACCAGCCCCAAAATACGCAACAGAGTCGCGTCGTCAACTTCAATACTCAAAGCCATCTACGCCAATCTCAACATGGCAAGTCCTCAATTACCCATAGCGCCCTCCGCATCTCCCACAATATACTTTGGTTACGGTTCAAATCTCTGGCTTCACCAAATGACGACACGCTGCCCGACGTCGACCTACCTAGGAGTCGCCCGCCTACCAAACTACCAGTGGATAATAAACGACCGCGGTTACGCGAACGTCGTCGAAGTGACCGATAGTAACAGCACATCCATGTCTCCTTACGACGACGTAGTCTTTGGTCTCGTCTATTCACTTGAAGCAGAAGATGAAAAGAGACTAGACAAGAACGAAGGCGTGCCCGTGGCTTACACAAAAGAGATGCTACAATGCGAGTTCTGGCCTTCTGACACAGAGCACAAAGTGGATACTAGCAAAGATCCGGAAAAGAAGGAGGACATGCTAGTTTACATCGATAGGAATCGTGTCCAGCGGGATAAGCCGCGAGAGGAGTATATCTACAGAATGAACCAAGGAATCACAGATGCTGTGAAGCTAGGTGTGCCAGAAGACTATGTGAGGGATGTCATGAGGAAGTATATTCCGGCTCAGGAAGATGACGATGGAAAAGAAGGGGAAAGGGAGAGGATGGCAGAGTTTGCTAGAGGGCAAGCGGCAGAATTCAGGGATGAGAGTGGTGTATTTCAATAAGATATCGGTATGGCAGTCACGGTGTGTTGGCATGTAGCGCCACAGAAGTGGAATGGCGGAAGAAAGAAGGAATTGACTGAGCTAATAAACTAGATGCCGTGCGAATGTGAAGCAAACCACCAAGAACGTCCGTAGACGACATTGTGACGTGACCAAAATTTGAGCTAGTGTTTGTCTCCAATCTTTCCTTTTGCTTGGCCATGTGCGTCAGAGGCGTTCTACAACTCCTCGCGAGCCCTGCGGTAGCTGGCCTATCAGTGCAATGCATTAGTCAGGTCCGGTGAAGACATGCTAGTAATCCGAAGACTGGTGTCTACGCACCTCCTGTTCGACCTGCAGCTGCTCGACGACGGGTGCCAGCTCAGACAGAATCTCGTATGCCTTCTTGTGGTACTCGAGCTGGGCGGCGATGAGTTCAGCGAGGTTGCGGAGAGGCTCGGGGGTGTCGAGGACCTATTGTTTGGTTAGCGTCTAGGTGCCAGTACATGGGGGTGCGGGCTGGAGGCTATAGTCGTACGTTCTTCATGACACCGACGGCCTCCTCAGTCTGGCCAACAAACTCGTCTTCGGCCTGCTCGATCTTGGCTCTCGCCTCTTCACTAATGTCGTCGTCCATGGCTGTCTTTGGAGCCTGACCTGGCAGAGTGAAAGCAGGGCCCTTTGCGTTGGCCTTGGTCGCATCCAGGCTCAACCGCGAGTTCTCGACTGCCTTGCGAGCACGTGTAGCGAACTGGATGTTGGTGTTGAGCGTGGTGCTCCAGCCGGCCAGGAAGCGGCTCTGGATCTGGGCGTCCTGGGCCAGTCGGGCCTCGCCGACCTTCTCGCTGGCAA